TGGCCAACACATTTTCAATTTTTTTTCCACATCTGCAACCGATTTGAAAGTCCTAGCACTAGGTGTACGCATTCAAACATTGGAACTATATCACTGCTGTTACGTGAGGATTCGCGGTTCTCCCTTGGAACAGATCGAGAAAACATTTTTCTCTTCGATCGTTAGCTCAGTAACACTTTGATGTGGTACACAGATGTCACCCCAGATAGACGGTGAACTACACCGCTTACACCGTACTCACATTGCGCCACATTTTTTGCCATTTATTCTCCAAAAACATGAAAGGATAAAAAACACAGCTATTTCACATTTCACGGGAAAAACAGGCTATTCACGAATCACGAAAATATCCTCTTCCATGTTTAACACCCTCTGTATAGCCATTTTTAAGCCCTGGCCAAACGGAATCGCAAGTAGAGGCAAGTTGAAAACTTGGGTCAACTTGGAAGTCCGTTCGGCCAGGCCTTGCGTGCACTTGTGTTGACTTGCTATGATTTGCGCTCACTTTGGTCGAGATCAAATTTGCATGCAAGGCGAAGCAATTTTTTTGCCGTTTGGCCACCCAACTTAAGTCAACGGAAGTTGAGTGACGTCCATTCGTTGCCATAGCAACCCATTAGCCGATAAAATACAGGACATGTCTGCGGGGTTTTCATGATGGCGACCTTGAAATGGGTTTTTTGCAATTTGCGTGTACTTGCGAAGCAACCTATGAGTCCGTTTGGCCACCCAACGCAATTCTCTCTTGCGGCTTCTTTCAACTACTTGCGAGTCCGTTTGGTCAGGGCTTTAGATTGTTTTGGATTTTGTGCCATTGACGTACATTGTTAATTAAATGTCTTACCAATAATGTTTCTTTCGTTATTCGCTACGTAAATAAAATAATTTCGGGTGATCAACCTTAATCCAAGCTCAGTTACCTTCGTCATACTGCCATGGTCTAATCAAAAGGAAGCATGCAAACTTTCAGTTTACGTCTTTTATCACGGAAATGTACGCTACCTTTCTATCACTGGAATTACATAGTCTGTCCTCTGTCCTGAACTGAAAATTTCCCCGTTCACAATTCACAAAACCAATCAAAAGACAAATTTTCCCCGTTGGAGGTGGTACAATGTGGAGATGATTGCGTCATATGTTGCGTGGATGGAGGCGGAAAATCGCTCTCAGTAAGTCCAAGTACGTCACTTGGACGTCTTTTGAAGCAAGCTAATGTTATAAAGAAAACAGGCTATGGGCGTTTTGCATCCTTTTTGGTCATCACTGAATGCGATAACGAGTTATGGAGGCACCACATCAATCCATCACACAGATGAAAGACAAGCGGAATGGAACAAGCGACGGACGAAGTAATCCTGTGAAACGAAAGCTGGGAATGGCTCCACAAGTTACTGCAAAACAGAGTGACGTCCAAAGCAAGCCAAGCAGTAGGTTCTACATGAGGGACAGAGTGATGGGCCAAGGAGCGAAAAAATTATCACCCGAAGAGATGGCCGCATTGGAGATCGATATTTTCAAGCCACTGGATTTCTACGAAATTTTATTTAACAGATTGAAGGGAAGCGATAAGGGGAAGATAATAAGTAATCTCAACGAACTGTAACTGCCTGAAAAACCGATTTGTCGCCACAAATAGTCTTGAATTGGGTTGTTGGATAACAGTAATGAATCGCTATATTCTCTGTTCTCCAAAGCGGTAACATAAAACAATGTAAGTAGAACATCAAAGGAATTAAAAAGGAAAATTTACATTTCACTGTATTCAGAGTACTCGTTAATGAATATTGTAAGCATTAATTATTGTAAGCATTAACTAAGGAAATCTTCACCAGAGGTGTCCTTGTTCCGAAATATTTCTCTACAACGATTTACTGTAAACAATTTCTATTCCTATAATTTACCTTTTTTCTTTCCTTCATTCTTTTTCTTTACCTTTTTTATCCTGTCACAGGCGATTACAGAACCGATTGATATCTTTCGATCATGAGCAAATTAAATGGGGCAGCACTGGCTCTCTGAAAGAAAGCCATTTGCGTAAAAAGAATTACACACAAAAAACATGTGGTGCTTGCTCCTTCTGTCCGCAATTACAAACAAGCGACGTGTTGAAGTAGCGCGCGATTATATGCGACATCACATAACGTAAACTGCCGCTTCAAAGCCCCGGGCTTTGTATAACTTCCTAAGGGCTTTTAGGTGGGCTTATAAACGGAGGGGCTTATATCCGAGGGGGCTTATAACCTGAATAAAGAACCGTTTCGAAAAGAACTATAGCTTTGTTGATCGAAATAGGTTTTTCATTTGCTGGTTTTGATCAAACTTCAAAACATCACAGTAAAACGAATTCACAACAAGAAAAGCTAGATGGAGGCTTATATCCGGCGGGGGTGGGGGAGTGGGGCTTATAACCGAACCTATAACGGAGGGGGGGAGGGGGGCTTATAAGCGGCAGTTTACGGTATTTTCACGCATCTGATCCTTTTTAACGTTTACAGTGATGCACATTTCAAAATGATTCAGTTGAAGCTACATCGAATACAATCTATTTATTAAAAGCTAATTTTTTTTCCCCGTGAAATGTGATATGGCTGGTTTTTTTTTCGTGAATCGTGTTATTGGTAGCCGTGAACCATGATTTTCAGTGAAATGAGAAATAAACGTTTAATTCGTCGAGACCCTTATTTTCATTGTTTTTTTAAAATTTTTTTTTTCGACTCTTGTCATTGCATAACCGTGAAGGCAATTCGTTGGATCCCTCCACATTATTAGTCTTCAGTAGAACGCAGTTTTCAAGTCCTTTCGCTACTTGTGGAAGAAAGAATTGGTGAAGATGTCGGTTTCAAAATCTCATGAATGTTCTCAATCCATGTGGGTGACAAATGTCTCCTTTTTGTGTTACGCGAAATATCTATTTTGTTTTCCATGAATTGTGAAAGGTCGACGTTTTTATTTTCCATTACAAGCCCCGTTTACCACCCTCAAAAAATGCGGTCAAACGGGGAAATTTTTAGTTTAGAACAGAGGACAGACTGTGTAATTCCAATGATAGAAAGGTAGCGTACAGTTTCGTGAAGGACGAAGTAAACGGAAAGTTTGCACGCTTCCTGTTAATTAGACAGCACATACCATAATTTAAGAGCTAAGTGACTATAACGGCATTGTAAGGAAGTAAGAAGTAAGAGACTTAATTTTATGAGGGTGACACGTAACAGTAACTAACATTACTGATGAACTTGTGGCCCTCTAAAAAATACAAAAATACACTCCTTGTCAAGGTATGCTCTTATCTGTCAAGAAGCGTTAACGATTTCATACCAGATGAAGTTTCGCCAAACGAGTTCGAGCTAAAAAAAATTAATAAGAAAAAACGGCCTCTAAGCGTTTGACCAAGGCGAAGAGAGCTCTGTAAGGGGAGTAACATTCGTGGGGCTACAAGTACTTTTTGTTAATCTGTTTGTTTTCATAATTTGAGATTTATTTTGAAGTGATAAAACATGTAATAAACCAGTCAGTGCTCCCTGGTGATTTTCACGCCCAACTGTCAGTCAGATCTCAAGGCGTTACCAGCCAATAGAATGTACCAGTTTTACTGAGACTTTCCTTCTATAGTATCTTTTGTTTTCATGGGATTTTGAAGCATGTTCAGTTTGCAACATGCCAAAAAGAACAACGAAAATTTCAGTCAAGATTACTCGTGACAAGAATAAAAAACTATGGGTCCCTCACACCCCTTTCCTCGCTTCCTTCTCCCATCTCTCAAAACCACTCTCCATCCTTTGTTTACAGCTCCGTTTATTACGATTCACGCTCTTTTTATAATAAATATAAATTAATTCACTCTTCGTTGATTTGCAAATCAACAGCATTTTATGCACGAAAGTTATGTTATGACCGAGCCCACCTCGTAAATTATTTACTCAATCACACGCCGAATAACCACATTCAGTGCCCTAAGTATAAACCAATTTTTACAATGTTAAACAAAAAATAAATTCTATAAACAATTGTGGTTTAAAAAACTTTGTAGTTAACAACTCCACACGCCAACTATACTCTTTCTACCTTCAGAGGAACCAAAACTACATAAATTCTCGAAACGAGTTGGAAAAAAACCGTTTATAAAGCAAAGCGAAAAGGAGCTCATGTAAATAGTTGTCATATTACACTACTTTGTGTCACACAACAAGGCGACGCCACGTAAAATCCAGTGGTCGGGATGTTGTGAAGTCTTGAGGTTCAAGCAGAAAATGTACGTCAAGTCCGTACGTCTGGGTTTCTTGTAAACAGGGCACTCGTAAAATTTAAGCGCATCTTTGTTGTCTTTCGAGTCTTTGACCAGAGCAGCAGTATTCACTGCGAATATGTGCACCACTGGAAGAGCGGTAAACAGAACTTTCGGCGAAGGTTCCGTGAGCCTGCAGTTTCTTCGGTCCCATCCAGCGCCATCCAAGAACAGACCGTGCACGTAGACACCTTCTGCCGGTGATGACGAAACATCTTCTTTCATCATTTTGGTGACGTCATTGGCAAGTGCCACGTTGTCGAGAGCCCAGCCTTTGTGCGCACGCGTAATTTCTTGTCTCATGGCTGTGAGAAAACCCTGAGGGAAACAGAATGAAGAAAACATTAGACACGACAAAACGGGTAACTTCATAGTAAAAAGAGCAGAAAGTAATAACTGACAATTAGTCAGCATCTTGTTACTTAAGTAAAACAGTCTTGTTCGGTACCAGCTATCCTCCCACTTTTCTCCAATTCACAAAGTGTTTTCCTTTTTACTTTATTTTGGCAAACATCAATTATACATTGCTCATGCTAGCTTTCGTATGATCTGATAAATTCTAGCGCCAAACATTTTTCTTCAATCTTCCTTAGTCCTGGAGTGGCGAATTGAAATATATTTCCTTCAAGACATTTCACCTCTGGGCAACATACCTGAGGGTTAAAGAAACCAGTCATCCAGAATGCAGTGGGTCTCCCTTCAAACAGCCACGACGAGAATTGATTATTACGCTCGATGAGCTCTGTAAACCAGAACCCCAGAGTGGTGGAGTCCCAAGAAATCTTGAATGAAAAGAAAAGATATTTTAGAGCTCACACGTTGCTACTGCTACGATATGAAATTGAACAAGATAATCTAAGGTCGCGTTTCATTTGGACCAATCGATTTCTCCTGGTTGAATTGTTGTTGCTATGGTTGTTTTTAAGTGGTCTGTTAGCTTAATCTCCTTGTTCAACGCATCACCGATACGGTTGCAACACTTTTTTAACCGTTTTTGGTGGGAACCGTGCATCAAGCCTAGCCTGAAATGTCAGTCATCTCCACCCTCACCCGAATCCGCGGGCGAGAGTCTCTAGCCCGGATGATTAGGCTGAGGGTGGAGATGACTGGCATTTCAGGCTACGTTAGTCCCTACAACCTGACCAACCAGAAATTGCTGTTTCCAATAAACCATGAAAGTCGCAAAACCAGGTTAAAAAGATTGATCCCAGTGAAACAACCCAAGAGTTCCGTTGGAAAGTTTCCACCTAATCAATTCGGACTCTCATTAATTTAGGGAGTAGAGGGCGAGTTCATGAAGTAGACGGCTGACATTGATTCAAGTGCTGAACGGACACGCCTCTAGGGAGGTCCGGGGGTAGGCCTGAAATTGAGAGGCTCTGAAATGCTACTTTATACATTCTCTTGGAGATTTTCCTAAAACAACAACAAAAAAAAATCAACTTTGGAAACGGTAAAACTGTCAAGGATATTAAGGGATTACCAGGACTTCTTCCAGTTTCTATCCAGCAACGCTAGCGTAATTGATGACGTACACCACACCCTGACCCCGTGCCTCTTCTCTAGCTACAGCCTCGACGGTCCTGGGACAAGGACAGTCAAGGTTCACTCACATTCCAGAATACCTGTGTTTTCCCTAAATTATTCTTCACAACTTACACACATACTATTTCACGAAAAGTAAGCGGCTAAGAAATCGAATTGGCTGAAACGGTTCTTCCCATAGAACACGACCTGTCTAAAAGCAAAGATACCTTCTTCCACAAGGCGGGTACTCGAGCGTCATAGATATTGTCCAAAGCATCCTTCAAGTTCTCACTCATGATAATGGTACCGTCTATGGCCAGTTTGAGGTCCACCAGTGTGTTCCTCACCGCTGTTATTACTCTCTGCATTCGATCAATCTCTTGACGAAGGAAAATGTTCATCGACGTCAATGCACCCATTTTTTGAAGGCGTGCTTTAACCTGAAGCGATTCACAAGGGTAAAATTAACGACACGTTCACAAATAATTGCAAGGTTACATTACAATATTAATCGTAAAAATATAGATTGTCAAAAAAGTGTACTACAACGCAGGCTGTGACATTAGAAACCACAAGGTGTTATTTATGTTGATATAACAGGCGCTCTGATTGTTAGATACGGCCAAGTTCTAACATTGCATGTTGTTTATAAACGGAATAGTGCGTGTTTATTTTATTGAGCGAGATAGAAACTGGCGGGGCTTACATAACCTAAATATTTGGGACGTTTCTAACGTTCCAGTCTACCCGTAGTAAACAACAACAAACAAAGCACATGCGAGATATGATAATGCATTAAGGCCTCAGTATTCTGACCTCAAAAGGAACGTAATCCACCGGCAACTTGTCTAACATCTCAGTAGCCTGGCGAGCAACTAGTGATTCACGGGTCTCCCCTGATCCACCTGAGCTGTCTTTGGGTTGAATGTTCACAATGGTCTCCAATACATCTGAAGTGGTTTTTGTCTGATATGTGATGTCAGCATTTGAGTGAAGACCAAACACCTTAAAATAGAAAAACGAAATGGGTTTTGTGATATGTGTGTTTTCTGTGCGAGATTTGAAATAGCTCAAAATAAGCGGCCATTTGAAGTAAGGACGATCACTATAAAACTCGAAATTTCACGATGAATGTATGGGCTCATTAACATTATGGAGTTTTTGAAAACCAGTTTCTCCGTGAGTATCATACCCAAAGAGCCAAACATTTTACCAATTATTAAGTGTAACAAGCTCTTTAAATAGTTAGACTTAATTCATATCTTACTTGACGCCTTTTCTACGCAAAGTCGTATTCTAATGAGGTTAAATTTGAACAATGACGTCAGACGTCAGATCACCTTATACCCACTTACCTCTGGAGTGTCCGACAACGGCATCTCATCTATGTGAGATCTGAAGTCCGCAATCTGCGAGCAGCGAGGGATGTTATAGCCTTGGTAAAACTTGAAGGCGTCTTTAAACATTTCCTGACTAAACCACACGCGGGCGAAGGTGTTAAGCAGGCGTTTGTCAAAGTCGTCTGTGACGCGACCACCGTACTGAACCTCACCAAGCATGTAGTGTACTGTGACCCATGAAACACCCTACGGGGAGGAAGAAAGGAGAAAATGTCTCCGATTAAACAGATTGATACCCAACACGGTTTGCATTATGAAACCGCTGTTTGCATCCTTGAAATTTATATAACTACATGGTTTACTCATGGAAAAGGGTGTTTGACATGGGCGTAATTTGGTTAAAATGATTTTTTTTTGCGCACTTGTTCTCCGGGCGCAAAGGGACTGATTATCGGTAGGAGTTTTTCATGGTTCAACATGTATTTGGAAGAGACTGCGTCTTCATCATAAAAGCTGCATAAAAGAACACTGAATGCCCATCAAATGAAAATCAAGTCTCATAACGAGATGAAACACAAAACACGTTCTACATCAAAACTCTCTGGAATTACTCTCATGAAACAAAACCTTCTCTAGAGGGCTTAATAATCGGAAGATGAATTTCAGCGCTGTTTACTACCAGAGTCTCAGTATAAGCCGGTATTTGAATGGTTTTATTATCGAAAGGATTCTGGCGCCTGCAATCTTCTTTCCATCTGACTACGCAGTTTTTTTCAGTTACCACAACGGCAACGGCAACGGGAACGTCACTAAACAAAAGGTTTCATGAGCAGAACAATGGCTGTGCACGTGAGTTACAATTCTTGGTACATTTCTCTGCCTTCCTCTCCAAATGACCAAATTCTGCGTTGTCTGGAGAACGTGAACCACGAAAAATAATTTTTAAAATTCATATTCGAATTTCACGATGTGTTCCATATTCAGTTTCGTGATAGTTTTGACAAAGAGGAACAAACTAAATGACTGAAAAGTATCGCGAGATTCGTAGGTAAAATGTAAACTCATTTTTAATCAACCTTGTCCTCGGCGTCGCCATCATAGTTACATAAACTCATAGCAATAAGCAATGAACACAACTCACCGCCTTTGGATCGATGTCATCAAGATGATTCTGAATAAACTGCACAGATGCTGTCAAATCAGCGGAGTTGAATTCATAAGGGATGTTCCATCCAAGAGGTCCAAACTTGCGTCGTTCTTGAACAATGGTGTGCAAGAAAGCTGTTGCGTACAGCATTGGTTTCCACTGAGGCATGTTAGTCACATCGAGTTGATCCTATGGGAAAACAAAATTAAATTAAACACCGGTTACAAGTTTCCTGCGTTATTCTTCCATGAAAATTTCAATAAGGGCTAGTAACAGGACTAATTGCCTGGCTGTGAGGAAGATTTTGCCTGCCTGGTTTGATTATGTAGAGGAAAGTTGTTCTCATAAAGAAGTTCTGTTCAAAAGGTTTGTCCGCCTGCGAAAACCAAATGACTTCCCGCTAAAAACGTCATTGAAACCCCTATCATATAGAACGTGTTTATGCGAAGAGGTTATACCCAGCGTGCAAAGAAAGTACTTTCCGATAGCTCGGGACTCGCATAGATTTCCGTAGAAAAATTGAAATTTCTTTATTTTCTTGTCCAATGAGTTGATAACATTTTTAGAGTTATAGTTGGCAAATAGAATAAGGCCAACGAGAAGGGCTATCGGACTTGCATCAAATGCAACTTCCCCATTGGGTCAACCTTGGATACTTTGTACCTTTTTCTGACAACGTCCTTAAATGGGCACAATTTCTGGACTGAAAGACTGCAGAACTAGACGAAATTTTCCGCAATGACGAAGGTACATACACTTTCGACGGCAGTCTTGGAGACTATCGCTTCTCCAAGGGGATGACACTTAAAACAAGATCAGAATTCTTTTGCCTAAAATAAAGTTCACAATTTTCAAACCCACGTCACCAAAGTACAATTTGTTCCTTTATTCCAAAGATGATGAAAAATAGCACCCAGAATCATACACTTAATTCTCCTTCAGCTCACTGAAGCTGAAAAATATCTACGAAAAAACAACTTGATCTGAGCCAAACCTGTGTGATTCCAGCATACGTTCTCTTCAGACCAGCCTTGATTCCCTGCGGGGGCTCATTAGTAAACTTGATGGAGGACTGGAGAAGAGTTATTGGGAATTTAGGATGAACTTCAGTCGTAATCCACAAACGGAATTTTTCGTTCACATTCTCAGTGCTTGTGATCTGAAAACCGAAAATAATAAATCTCTTGGTTAGTAAAATCTGACACAACACAAAGCCATGAGAGAAAAGAACATAGTCAACAAGGAAAAGTTGCCTTGCTGCAAAACCAAATTGTTAGAACTAACATTTAAGAAACGTAAAGCACTGTATATCGAGAATTGACATTTCTAGCTTGAAAAAAGTTCTATCCGTCATACCGTCTCCAACAACTCATCCATGAAGTTGAGTCCCAAGTGACAGTTCTGCAGTAGTACCCAGCCTCCCTCGTTCATAAACTGTCCCAACAGACGCCGCGCGTGCACTTCTTGTCCTTGCCCCATGGAGATGGCCCGGCAGTCTGTGCGAGATACAAAAACAATCACCATTATTAGACAACTTTTCCCATGACATGCTTAATCCAATTATAACACCTGTCTAATAAGGCTAATCTTCAAACTGACCAAGGACCATATTGTGTTTTAGATGGTCTATTTTGTTTCACGGTCACGAACTCAAAAGTTCTAAGCTTGAAACACAACACTTGAGTAAATAGAGCAAAAACTAGTCTCTTGTCTAAAAATCATCTAACGAAAGGCTCACATTGGCTAGAACATATTGCGTTCTTTTTTGTCAGAGTTCATGTGGATAAAATTCTACCCTGTCAGGGAACGTTGCCTGCAATTGCAACAGCTGTCAGTTTGAGGAAATAGATTAACACTACAATAGTCATTACAAGAATAGAATTCTTTACCTAAACGTTGTTTCTTGGCCAAAGCCTCGATGGACGCTGTAGGATCTGAACCCATTGACAAGAAACAAATCATTGGTGTTCTGATATCACTCTCCTCCCACATGTTTTCCAAGTTAAGAATCACGCCCTCAGCGTACTGTCAAAGTAAAGCAAAGAAAAATTTCAGAGAGGTTAACTATTTACTCCTCGCCTCAAACGGTAGGTAACTTCTGAGCTCAGGCCTTATTTTCTGCTGGTGAACCTCTAGTGCTCAGTCAAATGAAAGCTTCACAGAAGTAGGTTGCTTGAGCTTTAAGAATCAAACACGAAAGACCGTGTTTGACCACGTTTCCAAACACCAAGAAGAGAGTTGAAAATACGACGCGTAGCGGAGTATTTTTGACGAACTTCGAGGTGATTGAAATGCGGTCAAACACGGTATTATATGTTCTTCAGTTTTTGGCATAATNTGGCCAGTTTGAGGTCCACCAGTGTGTTCCTCACCGCTGTTATTACTCTCTGCATTCGATCAATCTCTTGACGAAGGAAAATGTTCATCGACGTCAATGCACCCATTTTTTGAAGGCGTGCTTTAACCTGAAGCGATTCACAAGGGTAAAATTAACGACACGTTCACAAATAATTGCAAGGTTACATTACAATATTAATCGTAAAAATATAGATTGTCAAAAAAGTGTACTACAACGCAGGCTGTGACATTAGAAACCACAAGGTGTTATTTATGTTGATATAACAGGCGCTCTGATTGTTAGATACGGCCAAGTTCTAACATTGCATGTTGTTTATAAACGGAATAGTGCGTGTTTATTTTATAGAGCGAGATAGAAACTGGCGGGGCTTACATAACCTAAATATTTGGGACGTTTCTAACGTTCCAGTCTACCCGTAGTAAACAACAACAAACAAAGCACATGCGAGATATGATAATGCATTAAGGCCTCAGTATTCTGACCTCAAAAGGAACGTAATCCACCGGCAACTTGTCTAACATCTCAGTAGCCTGGCGAGCAACTAGTGATTCACGGGTCTCTCCTGATCCACCTGAGCTGTCTTTGGGTTGAATGTTCACAATGGTCTCCAATACATCTGAAGTGGTTTTTGTCTGATATGTGATGTCAGCATTTGAGTGAAGACCAAACACCTTAAAATAGAAAAACGAAATGGGTTTTGTGATATGTGTGTTTTCTGTGCGAGATTTGAAATAGCTCAAAATAAGCGGCCATTTGAAGTAAGGACGATCACTATAAAACTCGAAATTTCACGATGAATGTATGGGCTCATTAACATTATGGAGTTTTTGAAAACCAGTTTCTCCGTGAGTATCATACCCAAAGAGCCAAACATTTTACCAATTATTAAGTGTAACAAGCTCTTTAAATAGTTAGACTTAATTCATATCTTACTTGACGCCTTTTCTACGCAAAGTCGTATTCTAATGAGGTTAAATTTGAACAATGACGTCAGACGTCAGATCACCTTATACCCACTTACCTCTGGAGTGTCCGACAACGGCATCTCATCTATGTGAGATCTGAAGTCCGCAATCTGCGAGCAGCGAGGGATGTTATAGCCTTGGTAAAACTTGAAGGCGTCTTTAAACATTTCCTGACTAAACCACACGCGGGCGAAGGTGTTAAGCAGGCGTTTGTCAAAGTCGTCTGTGACGCGACCACCGTACTGAACCTCACCAAGCATGTAGTGTACTGTGACCCATGAAACACCCTACGGGGAGGAAGAAAGGAGAAAATGTCTCCGATTAAACAGATTGATACCCAACACGGTTTGCATTATGAAACCGCTGTTTGCATCCTTGAAATTTATATAACTACATGGTTTACTCATGGAAAAGGGTGTTTGACATGGGCGTAATTTGGTTAAAATGATTTTTTTTTGCGCACTTGTTCTCCGGGCGCAAAGGGACTGATTATCGGTAGGAGTTTTTCATGGTTCAACATGTATTTGGAAGAGACTGCGTCTTCATCATAAAAGCTGCATAAAAGAACACTGAATGCCCATCAAATGAAAATCAAGTCTCATAACGAGATGAAACACAAAACACGTTCTACATCAAAACTCTCTGGAATTACTCTCATGAAACAAAACCTTCTCTAGAGGGCTTAATAATCGGAAGATGAATTTCAGCGCTGTTTACTACCAGAGTCTCAGTATAAGCCGGTATTTGAATGGTTTTATTATCGAAAGGATTCTGGCGCCTGCAATCTTCTTTCCATCTGACTACGCAGTTTTTTTCAGTTACCACAACGGCAACGGCAACGGGAACGTCACTAAACAAAAGGTTTCATGAGCAGAACAATGGCTGTGCACGTGAGTTACAATTCTTGGTACATTTCTCTGCCTTCCTCTCCAAATGACCAAATTCTGCGTTGTCTGGAGAACGTGAACCACGAAAAATAATTTTTAAAATTCATATTCGAATTTCACGATGTGTTCCATATTCAGTTTCGTGATAGTTTTGACAAAGAGGAACAAACTAAATGACTGAAAAGTATCGCGAGATTCGTAGGTAAAATGTAAACTCATTTTTAATCAACCTTGTCCTCGGCGTCGCCATCATAGTTACATAAACTCATAGCAATAAGCAATGAACACAACTCACCGCCTTTGGATCGATGTCATCAAGATGATTCTGAATAAACTGCACAGATGCTGTCAAATCAGCGGAGTTGAATTCATAAGGGATGTTCCATCCAAGAGGTCCAAACTTGCGTCGTTCTTGAACAATGGTGTGCAAGAAAGCTGTTGCGTACAGCATTGGTTTCCACTGAGGCATGTTAGTCACATCGAGTTGATCCTATGGGAAAACAAAATTAAATTAAACACCGGTTACAAGTTTCCTGCGTTATTCTTCCATGAAAATTTCAATAAGGGCTAGTAACAGGACTAATTGCCTGGCTGTGAGGAAGATTTTGCCTGCCTGGTTTGATTATGTAGAGGAAAGTTGTTCTCATAAAGAAGTTCTGTTCAAAAGGTTTGTCCGCCTGCGAAAACCAAATGACTTCCCGCTAAAAACGTCATTGAAACCCCTATCATATAGAACGTGTTTATGCGAAGAGGTTATACCCAGCGTGCAAAGAAAGTACTTTCCGATAGCTCGGGACTCGCATAGATTTCCGTAGAAAAATTGAAATTTCTTTATTTTCTTGTCCAATGAGTTGATAACATTTTTAGAGTTATAGTTGGCAAATAGAATAAGGCCAACGAGAAGGGCTATCGGACTTGCATCAAATGCAACTTCCCCATTGGGTCAACCTTGGATACTTTGTACCTTTTTCTGACAACGTCCTTAAATGGGCACAATTTCTGGACTGAAAGACTGCAGAACTAGACGAAATTTTCCGCAATGACGAAGGTACATACACTTTCGACGGCAGTCTTGGAGACTATCGCTTCTCCAAGGGGATGACACTTAAAACAAGATCAGAATTCTTTTGCCTAAAATAAAGTTCACAATTTTCAAACCCACGTCACCAAAGTACAATTTGTTCCTTTATTCCAAAGATGATGAAAAATAGCACCCAGAATCATACACTTAATTCTCCTTCAGCTCACTGAAGCTGAAAAATATCTACGAAAAAACAACTTGATCTGAGCCAAACCTGTGTGATTCCAGCATACGTTCTCTTCAGACCAGCCTTGATTCCCTGCGGGGGCTCATTAGTAAACTTGATGGAGGACTGGAGAAGAGTTATTGGGAATTTAGGATGAACTTCAGTCGTAATCCACAAACGGAATTTTTCGTTCACATTCTCAGTGCTTGTGATCTGAAAACCGAAAATAATAAATCTCTTGGTTAGTAAAATCTGACACAACACAAAGCCATGAGAGAAAAGAACATAGTCAACAAGGAAACGTTGCCTTGCTGCAAAACCAAATTGTTAGAACTAACATTTAAGAAACGTAAAGCACTGTATATCGAGAATTGACATTTCTAGCTTGAAAAAAGTTCTATCCGTCATACCGTCTCCAACAACTCATCCATGAAGTTGAGTCCCAAGTGACAGTTCTGCAGTAGTACCCAGCCTCCCTCGTTCATAAACTGTCCCAACAGACGCCGCGCGTGCACTTCTTGTCCTTGCCCCATGGAGATGGCCCGGCAGTCTGTGCGAGATACAAAAACAATCACCATTATTAGACAACTTTTCCCATGACATGCTTAATCCAATTATAACACCTGTCTAATAAGGCTAATCTTCAAACTGACCAAGGACCATATTGTGTTTTAGATGGTCTATTTTGTTTCACGGTCACGAACTCAAAAGTTCTAAGCTTGAAACACAACACTTGAGTAAATAGAGCAAAAACTAGTCTCTTGTCTAAAAATCATCTAACGAAAGGCTCACATTGGCTAGAACATATTGCGTTCTTTTTTGTCAGAGTTCATGTGGATAAAATTCTACCCTGTCAGGGAACGTTGCCTGCAATTGCAACAGCTGTCAGTTTGAGGAAATAGATTAACACTACAATAGTCATTACAAGAATAGAATTCTTTACCTAAACGTTGTTTCTTGGCCAAAGCCTCGATGGACGCTGTAGGATCTGAACCCATTGACAAGAAACAAATCATTGGTGTTCTGATATCACTCTCCTCCCACATGTTTTCCAAGTTAAGAATCACGCCCTCAGCGTACTGTCAAAGTAAAGCAAAGAAAAATTTCAGAGAGGTTAACTATTTACTCCTCGCCTCAAACGGTAGGTAACTTCTGAGCTCAGGCCTTATTTTCTGCTGGTGAACCTCTAGTGCTCAGTCAAATGAAAGCTTCACAGAAGTAGGTTGCTTGAGCTTTAAGAATCAAACACGAAAGACCGTGTTTGACCACGTTTCCAAACACCAAGAAGAGAGTTGAAAATACGACGCGTAGCGGAGTATTTTTGACGAACTTCGAGGTGATTGAAATGCGGTCAAACACGGTATTATATGTTCTTCAGTTTTTGGCATAATAAACTTTTCTTCGACTGGTTTGAACTCCCGAAAGTAATTTTGGGGAGCAAAAGTAATTATTGCCTCTACATTACCTCTTTTCCAATGGCGTCACTGATGTAACGTCGAGCCTGGTTAATAGTACGATCTGGGCACCAGGCTCTGATAAGCAGAAGCTTCCTGAATGTGTCGAGAGAGCCCTGGTATCCATCGGGTATGGGAGTATCCTCTGGGGCTTCAGAGTCAAACCAGGTCTTCCAAGCTTTCCCTGATTCGTTATTTGCAACCTGTGGAATTATAGTACGCAAAATTCATTAATGAAAGCCAGGTAAGATAAACTGATCACTATGGCTTAATTCGTGCATTAGAAATAAAAAAGGCTGTGACCGGAGTGGATTCATGAACGTTTGATCAGATTCAGCATTTTTAGTCGTAAGCGTGTTGATCCGTTTTCAAAAAACCTCTTATAATGACGTACACCAAGTTGAACATGACTCGTTAGTATGAGTGAACTCATGAACAATTCACAATCGAGGGCCCTGTTATTGTCTGATAAAGGAGGTGGAACGAAAGCGGACCTATTCAGTTACAAAAATTCCTCATTCTTAAACAAAAAAGAGGGTGGGACCTCGGCCTCGTTTCTTACACTCTACTGGTTCTGTAACATTGCATGCAACAACAACAACAACAACAACAACAACAACAACAACAACAACAACAACAACAACAATAATAACAACAATAACAAACACAACATCACCTGTCCCAGTAGCTGTGTAAATTGAGGCAGTTTGCTGAGTTCAACAAGGTTCAACCAGGTCATGTCCAAGATCCACTTCTTAGGCTTGGGTTCCACAGCATTCAGATCAAGCGCGGCACCACCTGTCATACGGAATAAGCAAGTATTCAGTAACCAGTTAAACAGGATACGGGTATGAACATTCAACTAGACACACAGTATCCGGCAGGATACTGTGTACAGGCGCGGCACCACCTGTCATACGGGATAAGCAAGTATTCAGTAACCAGTTAAACAGGGTACGAGAATAAACACATAACTAGACACACACCTATACTTGGTCGCTGTTGTTCGTAAGAGAGTTTTTAACACACTATGGTGCTGCCTCGGTAGCCAAATGAAACACTGAAATTATTATTAAGTTGATAAGGGCACCCACGCACGCTCGCACGCACAAAAAGGGGCGAAGTACATGCACGGTCTCCATACCTTTGATAAGAACCTTAAATTCATCGTGGCGAATCTTTTTCTCTTGCAAATCAATCTTCAAAGTCAGCAGCAAAGTGAAGAGGAACTTGTGTTCTTCATACAGGCCACGCGTCGTGTAGCGAAACACCTCAAACGTCAAGTAATCGATGATGTTCTGGATTCGTTTGGCGGGAATCGGAGACTTCTGGGAACGTGCCATTGAAATGTCAAACAAACCCAGGAACTGCCTGAGAGAGGTCTGGTACATAACGTTCACGTAAGACATCTCGACTATCAGGAAATACAGGATACTGCCTCGTGTGGCCACTGTGGGGGAGAGGGACAGAATGAAAATTCGTCATCAATCATATTACAGTATTACAGCAAGCTAAGTAAGTTTGCTTCAGTTCTATGAATCGAAGAGGTATGACAACTTATCAGTGCTACCAAAGCTCCAACAGGAAGCAACTCGAAACAATACCACTCTCACTGGATGGCGTGGAGTCCATCGTGGAATACAGCCTCAGTGTGGGCCTAAGAATGCCGCAAACGAACACACGAAAACGAAGAATTGACAAAAACGACACACCGACCGACCAAGAGGAGCGAACGAACGAAAACGAAGACATGACTAAAAGACTAGCCGACAGACCGACCGCACGAACGAGCGAGCAAACGAACGAGCGATCGAATAACAAACGCATGAACGACCAGCCTACTGACCGCATGAACGAGTGAACGAACAAACGAACAAATGAACGAGCGATCGAACCAACGAACCAACGAACCAACGAACGCATGAACGACAAGCCTACCGACCGCACGAACGCGTGAACGAACAAACGAAGTGAAAGGGAAAAGAAGCAAGGAAGGACATTGGCCATACAAAAACTCTCAGTTCAAATAATAACTGACCTGGTCTGTATTCCTCCCGAGCAGTGTTGATCTTCAATTCAGTCTCCGCGGCAACCAACAACTTCTCACTCACTTCCTCTGAAGTAGATTTAGTGACGCTAAGAACCTGGATCAGAGACTCATCTTCAACCAGGGAGCCCTGGGTACTAGTCAGTCGATATAGCAGATTGTCCTCCAGGTCCTTCATTTTACGCTTGTTCGCGGTCACTTCTTCCATCAGTTTGGTGCGCTCAGCTTCTAGTTCCTAAACCAACCACAATGAATTATTCATATTTCATACGCGCACGATATTTCCAAATTTCGGAAGTTAAAGCACAGAAAAGGTGATGATCTTCGCATAAATAAAACAGTTTTAAAACAAAAGTTTCGGATAACCTAAATCCGACATCGGTTACCGTTAATCGGATCTAGGATCTATATAGAAAACAAGATTGGCTAGTAATCTTGCTGCCATTTCCTTGACCATGGCGATGTCCAAACAGAAAGCTCTTGCCACTTTGGCCACCGCTCACGTATAAATTGTACTTCTTTCCGGCTTAATATTTCTACTACTTTCATTACTTAACCTATAAAATGTATCTAAATGCCTTCTATAATGTAAGCGAAAGGATTGAATAGTATTGAATAATTAAATTGAATAGGATCTAGGATCTAACGATGGATGCAGGTCATCCGAAACATCTACTTCATTTGTATTGAGGTTTTCGCCCTCAAAAGTGACTCGCATATTAATGACGTGGAAAGTTAAAGCTATTATCTTTCCATGTAATAATCCAGGAATAACAGGTCGTGATATCAGAACAGAACAAGAACGTTTTTTTTTTACCTGCTTCTCTGTTAAGATTACTCTTCCAAGCAGCTGATCTTCCAGGCCGCTCATTGTGACCGTGAAATCGATAATGGCGGTCTTGGCACTAACTTCCGGTGTGTATGAGGGGTTACCAAGCTTGGTGGTGACGTAGAGACGGAAGCCCTCCATAACATCCACTTCCTTGTCACCTACTTTGACCTAATAACAGAAATAACACAGCAGTCATTACTACAGTCGAACCCCTATTGAACGGCCACCTATTAACGGCCACCCCTATTAGGCGGCCAGAAATGAAAGTCCTGATGAGGTTTTAGAGAGATTAAGCATGACGTAACGTCAAACAGCAAACGGCAAAAATGAAACTTTTGCGTCTGTCCTCAGCTGTCTGTGCAGTAGAGTGAAAATATTTTTATTTGCGGTGAATAGTAGAATATATTTTTCCATTTTTGTGTGATTTATTTAAGGATTACAAGAAAAGAATAAAAAGTCAGAGGTAATCTTTGCCGTTTGCCGTCTGCCGTAAACGTCATGCTTAAACTCTCTTTTTTCTGTTGTTTTTACCTCTATTAAGCGGCCAGCCCCTTTAAGTGGCCACTATCCATTTCCCCGAGGGTGGCCGTTTAATAGGGGTTGAACCTGTGACGAGTTTTGGAAAAAAGTTCAAATCCATTGTGGTGAATTCCCTCTTGTGTGTAACCGAAGGTCATCTTTTCTTTACCGATTGTCGGCTAAAACGAGTATTTTCTTGTTTAGTTTAGTACATGCACGTGAAAGATATCAAGATGTCACTGTTATCTTTACTTTGTGAAATGTTTTCTACAGAAACAGAAACGGAGCTTTAAGTTAGAGATAAAATCGAAACTGGATCGAAGTTTCGAGCGAAAAAACGAACTTTTGGAAGGTGAACAAAAAGTTATCGCAGTTGCTACTTTTGTCACAGTCTTTCTCGAAAATAAAAACAAAACCCGCATGGCTTCAAGTTAGTGATGAAATTGAAAATCGAAGTTTCATTCCCAAAACGAAACTTTGTGCTTGTCAATGTCCCCGCCATGGCACGTTATTTTGTACCTTAAACGTCTTGCCAGACTTGATGAAGTTTTTCTCCAGTACATTGTCAAGAGCAGGGTCAAGCTCTTCGCCCACATCCTCGATGATCAGCGGTCTTCCCAAAGAGAGCGCATCTTCCAAATGCGTTCGGAAATACTTGTGGTTGAGGGCTGTGACCTGATGGCAAACACAAGTCACCAGTAGAAATGGTACACACAATTCTCAGAACTAACTACTATTTTAACAAAAGTATGAAATCAGTTGGAAGGGAGGCGCGGTGCCTTATAGCCATTATGTCATATTCTTGGGCCAGACTCACTCTCTCAGTGCCTCTCTCCAACTAAACCAGGTGCATAAATGGGTACCTGCGAACTTAATGCTAGAGGGTAACCCTGCTGTGAACTAGCATCCCATCTTGAGGGAAGCAGAAGTACTCTGAGTCACATCAAAGGCTAACTATTCACTATACCTTTTATACTGAAAGGGTAAAGTGGAACAAATAATTTATGAAACCCACCTGCAATTCGTTCGGTCCTTCTTTCTTTCTGATCCACGCTTTCCCTTGGCCCTGAGTAACATTAAAAAGCAAATAAGTACAAAGAACTTTATTTTTTTCTACGAATAAATACATCTATGTTTTCCAGGCAAGATTCTGAAAGTGAAGACTTTTTGAACAATTCGAGCTTGTAAAACCTGAGTTTGAAATCAATATTGTCATGTCAATGGTTAAAGGACTTCCGCTATTTTCTTTCAGGAACAAGTCGATCCTTATTGAAACCTAAAGCTTCCATGTCCAGCAGCGAGCGATTTATGCTTCTCTAAAGCACACCGTATTATCAGAGCAAATTCTGAAGAGCACCATCGCAAAAAGCAAATGGAAAGTTAAGACAAACAACAATAAGAATTCAAACTTCTGTGGCAAACAAAAATTGGATAGTTTTATTATTGGCCTGGTTGTGACCGAGACAAGGGACGATCGGAATTTCACTTCTCGTCAGGAACTTCATTGTGGAGGACATCGCTTCATGCTCAGGGTAATAATAATCGATATCTCACCTGAGGGTCAATAAGAAGGGGATATCGTGCAGCCTTGGTGACGATGATACCGTTCTGGACTGAGAGTTCATCACTCGGTAATCCCTGAAGGGCCCATTCACCAAGCGTAGCAGCATCTGTCAGCATGTTCACCAGATTCAAATCCTGTTCAGACACAAACAAAACGGTGAACGTCACGCCCGGGCCAAACGAAATCAAGAGCGTATAAGTTAAAGGATAGGTGTTGCACGAGAGGTTTCTTTAAACATCAGGGAACCTGTGCAAAACGAACTAAAGTTCTTGACGACGGTCAAAAATGTACTTAACAGGCAAGCTTAAACTTCGACAGTTGCCGTCATTGCAGGGAGGTTTATTCAAGCAGGAAATTCTACGCCCACAATTTTGCGAGTATACCAACAAAAAAACAACGAAAACAGCACAAACATTGAAAAACACCAACAATACATCCGCCTCACGACTGACTTACAAAAAAAAAAAAAAAAAAACTTATGCTGAGTTTTAGCAAATTGAAAAAATTTCGCGCTAAGAGTGTAAAGAGACTGGAGAAAAAACAGATAACTTGACAAGTTCTGGGTAACCCAGAGGTCATTACTCCTGATAATTATTTTCGTAAGGCATTACCTCTGAGAAAGGAATCTTCTTTTTTCTCATTTCTTTTTTCCAGTTGTCAAGTAACAAAGTCCTGAACGCCTGGTTAAACGGCCCAGAATAGGATAAGAACCCTGTGGCCAACAACACATCACCAACCAACCTGAAGAACACAGAATGACCAGGAATCTGTGATTAAAATCACATCAATCCTCTACAATAAGTGAATGTAATTTTCCATTAGTTCAATGAAACGAAATAGGTGAGAAATGTTTTTCTCACGAACCATAGAGCCTGGGAATGGATCATGTGACCTTAGGCGCGCAGCTGTTCTGTTGTGTCCGCCATTACCGACCTTTGAATTTCAGCCAATTTCCAGTGGCAAATGGAACAGCATTTTGCGAAATTTCCGGGAAAGAGAATAAATAACCTCTCACGAGGTGTATCAAAATTTTCAAAAAAATGCGGATGAATGGTTCACATTGTGGAAATTCAACAATTTTCGGATTTTCGGGAAACTTTCCCCGGCAATCTTCATACCATTTAACCCCGCTTCCAACGTTCCGGTCTTTCGATTGAATGAAAAGCGCCCAAGGAAACAGAGGGACGATGTCATAGTCCTTAATTAAGTAACCAAAACAAGGGACTTGAACCACCCAATGAAAATAGCTCACTCCAATAAGAACCACACCTTTGAATCTGTTGGTCAAATTTCTTGCTCTGTTCGGTCCATCTCGTTTTCTCGCCTCCCAATCCATCGATCAGCGCTGTCGCGTTAGCCATCTTCCTCCTGCACGCCTCCGCGTCGTCAACTAGCGTTTGCTTGTCGCGCATGGCCTGATCGTACTTAGCTTGCACGGCATCCAGTTCACGCTGTTTTTCATCCAACTGTGCCTGAGCTTCATTCAGCTCACTTGTTGCTTTCTGTAAGCGAGCTTCTTGAATGATCAGATTGGCCTAGAAATTTGAAACGTATTAAAATGTAGTTAAGTTATATGTTCTAGTTTTAATCCTTAGTTGTACTCTAAAGTTTTTAGCTTTTATTGCTATACCGGCTCTATTTTAGACTTTTATTTTATCAGGGGACCCTCCTGATTGGAGGTTTCCTCTTAAAATATTAATTTCTTATTATATATTATAGGTAAAACGTTGGCCGTATGAAATGTATTAAAATCTGCAAGATAGGAGCTTACTCATATGGCGCTAAGTTAAGAAAACACTTTTTTAAAAGTACGGATACATTTGGGGACGAGATAATTATGGCAGGGGCTGTTGCCTTCAAAAAAATCGGCCTAGTTAACAGTAGCAAGAGTTTTGCGTTTGTAAAATTAGCATGCATAGAAGCATAGCTTGGATTTTAACGATCAGTAAGAACTCTGTAAATGTAACAAAAGGAAACACGAAACATGTTCGGGGAGGGGAATCTTTTGGGCTTGAGGTAAGTGGGGTTGGGGTGATTACTTTCAAAAGATAACGACATGCTCAACGTCACTACAGAAGCAAGACATGTTAGTCACCTTGAGAGGAAGAACTTCTTTGTTGATTCCGAAGAAGAAGGCCATAGCTCTGGTCCAGGATGCCAGCCCAGCCACATCACCACAAACTTTCTTGGCATTTTCCATGGTGTAGTCCTCCATCTCGAGGTAAGGCATCAGCAGCTCCACAGTTTCTTCGTTGATGGAATCCTGAGTGTCAAAATGAGGTACAGTACCAACCCGCAAGTAAGAAACTGCTACCAGAAATTTGCCATTTTACTACCCAAAAATCAAGCAGGTTATTATATGTTGGTTACAGTTAAATTATGATAACATTTTAACCAAGGTGTGTGACTTTGAGATTGAGAATTTATATTGCGAGAAAATACCTAATACAGTTTCAGGACCAAACCCATGCAAGTTTATTTATTTTTCTGGTAATCAACACCTATATCTCCTTCACAGAAATTAAGAACCTACTTAATCAAAATTGCAGATAACTACCCCAAAACTACAAGAACTTTTGCCAGACTTCAAAAAACGTAGGTTCTAACGCCCGGGTTATGGCGTCGAATCTATCTTGATGCCTTCTCTGAGTAAAGTCGCATGTTAAAGAAAAAAGTTTAAACAATGACGTCAGTAACGCTAGCTCTATTGAAGGCAGTCCCTGCTAAAATTTGAAAGTAGCCGTACACACAAAGGCGACATATATCTAATTGAAACACATGCAGACATCCTTGTTATCATCCTTTTTCACTGAGTTGTCAACATTGTACAGGGATGGTAAGGGCATAATCGTGACTAGGCTTGAACTATTTCAACCTATGTTAGGGTGCTGGCAACGTTTCCCTGCAACGTTATTACACTGCCCGCGGTACCGAGATCTCTGCGGAGAATGATTGAGGAACTCTTAAAGGTGATGTAATGATTTCGCTTTACCTTTGCAAAAGTTAGCAAGTTGTTCAAGAATCCTCCACCACTCATGAGTTTTAGAGATTCACCCCAGGATGGCTTGCAACAAGGCTTTTCAGGATCGGGGGTCACGGGATCGATTTTTCGGTTAAACAGCAGTAGCACGCAGTCCATAATGCGCATGATCAAGTGAGGCGGCTTGGCCAGTTTCCTGACGGTGGCAATGTGCGCTGGTTTGATGGTCTGAAGAGCGGCTTCAGCCTCCTCTAAAGCTGGTTTGGCAGCCTCAAGCTTTTCCTCTGCTACCGCTTTGTCCTCCTGTTGGAAGAAGAGCACCGAATCTCGAAAGTTAGTAGGGATTTAATAATGAGTATTTTTGAAGAACGTACTTCACAATGAGAGCAAACGTACGTGCAACACTGCGTGACAGAATTGACACAACCTAACCTAAAGTAGAGTTACCTGAGGGTAAAGAATGCCCTAAGTAATAGCGTTTTTTAGAATGAAAGAATTTCTTAAAAAATCGCGTGACCGACAAGCCCAAAATAGCGTGACAGAATCGCCTACTTACCGCAATCTCATCAACAATAGCCTGTGCCTTGTCCTTAACTTTTTGAACCTGTGATTTGACCTTCTCTGCAGCCGTAGCGCTGACGGTCACCTCCTGCAGCACCACGTCTGCCTTCTTCGAGGCTACAGCAAGTTCCTTTTCCTTGACAACGAGCTCTTCAGAAAGCTTTGCTACTGACTCACTTGCTTCCACAAGCTTGGCGAGGCCAGTGTTCATGCGCGTGGCCAGGAGACCAATTGCTTCGTGCTGCATCTTGTAGATTCCTTTGTAACCACTAATGAAAGATAGGTAGGACTTCGGTGTCACGTGAGTTTGTCGACGGAATCGTTCAAAGTACTGCACACACATCTCTGCAACGTTGTCCTTGAAATAAACAAAACAGTAATTATTCCTACTTTCATATATTCACTCGTAGTAATTATTCCTGTTAGGTTGGTTGGTTGTTGGTTGGAGAGCCACAACTTACCTGTATGATGCCCATCGTATTGACAACAGCCACTTTCGTTTCTTGAGAACAAACAATTTCAAATGAGGACAGAAAGTGTGAGGCGACAGCAATTAATGCATCTTTAGGCCAGCGGCTGAACCAGTCCATTGTGCAACCACTGAACAGTCCGGGAAATTTCAGAGAACGATTACGGAACTTCTCCCCCACCTAGAAATACAAATAGTACTTTTAAACGCAAAATAATCAATTAGTGAATGAATCGAGTAATCAGGTAGCCAGCTCGCCTCTTAGGGCAGTGCAAAAAATCAGTCCAGTAGAGTCAGCCAGTCAATCCATCCGTCCGTCCGTCCGTCCGTATGTCAATCAGTCAGTCCGTCAGTCAGCCAGCCAGTCAGTCAGTCAGTCAGTCAGTCACACAGCCAGAGAGCAAGTCATTTACTCAGACAGTCTCAGACAGACAGAAACAGATAGTCACATAAAAAGATAGTCAATTAGTCAGTCACAGACAGGAGACAGACATACAGTCAGCCACACTGACAGAGAGACAGTCAGTCACACTGACTAACAGACAGACAGCCACACTGACAGACAGACAGTTTATCTGTCAACTGTGGAAAGAACATAGAGAGGTAAAAAGATTCTTACTGGTGAAAAGCAGAGTACAACATGCAGGTTATTCTTGACACGAGTGATGAAGTAGTCATACAGATTCTCATTGGTTGGTGGTCTCCTTGGATACTCGGCCTTCATGACATTTATCAAATCCTGAGTGATCTCATCAATCTCGTCCCGAGCGAACAAATTGGACACCTAAAATTAATTACATAGGGTAAGTCATAAACGTCAGCATCCACCAAAATTTCCTATCTCCTCATTGTTACAGTCTCAAAGGCCTGAAGCGTTCCACAAAATAATAAATACTTTCAGTGATCCACAACGGTTTCGATTTGTTTGAAGGAAAAAAAGAAAACACGCAGGTATAAGAAGATTGCAAAAAACTACGCCCCTGGGAGGTGTGCACTAGGCAGTTTGGAACTCCGCTTTCAATTTTGTTCCGTTACAAGGTAAACAAACCTTCTTCTGTTGCAGAATACCACGAACTAAAAATTAACAGGGCGCACAAAGAGATCGTGGACTTGAACTTCCGGCCCTATACGGGGATGTCTTGGCACGTGACTTAGTTCACCCAAGCTCACGTGATAAATAGATTCCCGCCATATGCACTTGAGAAAGACGCTGTGACAGCGTCAAAAGCACGTGATCGTTAAAACATTGACTCTGTTTCGGTATCTCGTTTCTTATTATGTCTACTACAGAGTCGGGAAACAATATCTTTATTCGAGATAAATTCTGTTCAAGGAATTTCACCACGACGGCAGCAATGCTGCTTGTGTTGCCGAGAGATGAACACTAAGCAAATTTTCGTTCAACGTGTCTCTTAAGGGCACAAACATCATACGAGATAGAACTTTTGTTAAGTCTTAGGTATCCTTAAGGTAGTCCTTTACATAAGCCTTATTAGCTTCCCTGGGCTTCCTTGCATTACACTTCAATATTTTGTAAATATATTTAAAAATGGCAAAAAAATAACACAAACAAACAAACTTGTCGCACCTCTCCTGAAGCTATCACATTGTTCATGTACTCCAAGAATCCTTCATCTTTGATCTCGTTGTCTGTGAATATAAACGTGATTCCTTTTCCTTGATGTCCAGCAGTTCTGTACAGCACTTTAAGATCGTCCATCAAGTTGGTGACGTTGTAGGACCTGGAAAGCAAATAAGGACAAAGAGACACCACCATTCAATCTATTTTGATACGCGTTTGCTTGTCGTTTTATTCCCCCTGTTTTTTTTTTGTTTGTTTTGTTTTGTTTTTGTATATTAATGAAATGTACACTTTATCGTCAAAATATAATTGCAAAATATAATTGTGATACGATTGGGATTTAAAAGTCACACTGTGTACTTCAGTACGTGTTGAAGTTCTTCGTTTTGGAACCAAATATCTTTATACTCCAAGAGGTCATACCAGGACATACAAAATACAAGTCATAAACGTTCTAGTCTGATGTCTCCTGTTGAAATCAGCCTCCTGACGAAAACATTACAATTTCTCTTGGTGTCACGTTGGTTGAACTTTTAGCTCACCTTGTCAGAGTGATCTGGAAGATGTCGTAGCCAGCAATGAAGGAAGCAAGACGCGTCAAGCTTTGCTTTCCTGAACCACCAACGCCTACTAACAGAGCGTTACCTCGAGGAGTTCGGATGATGCGAGAAATCTTTACGAGATGCACCATGGCGTCCTAAGAAAACAATGCAGACTTAGAATGAGGATACAAAAGAACAAAACGATAACCTGATTGCTAGCCACAAAACCCAAAGCCAAAGGACGCCCAAAAAGCGGTCCGTTTCTACCACCATCCTCAAGCTCAATAATAAATCATCAAGTTTAAACAAAGGAAATCATGACCGTGGCGGTATTTAGATATTTGATCTTAATTAGCATAGTTTTTCACGATTTTATTTCTCCATTTTCTCCCTGGTTTTAGTTTCGATTGAGAAGTAATATATCAAACACGAAAGACAACTACTACGATTTGTACCTTGAAAAATACCAGGTCCATGTGCCCTCCACGGACCATTTCATTGTAGCTTACAATGAACGAACCCAGTCGATCTTTGAGCGAGTCCAGTGACACCACAGGTTCATACACCTTTGGTGCTTCTAGATCTGCATCCTCGGGCTCCTCACCTGCAGCAAGTCAAACAGGTTTAGCGATACTAGTTAAACTAGTTCATACAAGGGCGAAATAATTTTGTGAGCCCGTGGCATATCTCCTGCCTGAAACCGATGTCATTCACCATGGTAGTTGCCAAATTTATTACTTACTGCATCAAGATAAACAAGTATATATAACGTACACAAGAGAACAATTTGACCGTAGGTTTGAATTTCGTTGTATAATGCAGTTTTATTAAAAACTGGATCATTGGATAATGCAATTCGAGAGTTTTCATTGGCCTAGCCATCATGGGTTATGAGCCATTATACCATGCTCCACAAATATGGGAAGCGTACGCGTAAATTTTTAGGGCCTTTTTACTTTCATTTTAGTCTAGTTTTCTATAATTTTGGGGCGTTTTTAATCAAATAATTATTCCACTTGTTGGATATGAGATGGTAGATAGCCAGCGCCTCGTTGGCTATCTACCATCTCATATCCAGTGCGCGCTCGTGGAGTAATTGTTAACTATCATTCCAACATTACGCCATTTTCTCATATTAAGTAAAGAGAGCAAAACATGAGCCCGTATTGCATAACAACAACAGCAAGAACAGCGTCTTTAATTTAGACACGGTGCGTTTTAAAGTTAATATAGCTTATGGGGGCACTGTAGAGTCGTATTTTGTTTTCCTCACTTCGTAAGCGCCTTGTGCGATCGGTGCGATTTTCGAATCATGATGCAGGATGTATTTCAAAAACTAGAAGCCGAAATACTAGAAAATGACATAATAAAGGAATAACAAATCCCATATTCGAAAATGGAGAGCCCAATGGAAACCCGCGAGACGAGGAAAGAGCTAACAAAACTCATATCATGAATGAGGCCTGGGGTATTCAACAGGGAGAGATTTTGGGAGTGAAAGTGGGTAAAGACGCCTCAGTTTTCAAACGAGGTTGACAGCAGTTGTTCAATTATTCTGTCAGTAGGTTTGCATACAGAAATCAAATGATACACCATATAGACAGAATAGACAACAGTAAAGTGCTCCAAGATTGACAGTAACCAATTAGTTCCCAGCGCGATTAACAACGCTAAGTTGGTCATCGTGCAGTTAGGCGCGACATTTTCTGGAGTTTAGTTTCAATGACAGGGCATCGTAGAAAGCACACGAAGGAACAGTAAAAGACACAAGATAATACAATCAGTAAGACTGGAAACAATCAATGAGTCCCTGTGCTGTTTCAGGAACAAACATCAAGAAGAAGAACAAATGTTATTTTCCACTGGCTGAGTGAAACGAAATAAGTGGAAAATGTTATTCTCACACACCACCGGGGCCTGGGAATGGATCACGTGACCTTTGGTGGGCAGTTATTTCCGTTGCATCCGCCATTTCTCAACTTTTCGTCCCATCCACCCAAAGAAATCTAGTTGGTGCTGTATGTTTGTTTGTCTTACCTACAAACCTTGCCTACTTGTGCATGCATGATATACGTGTGTAGCATTGTTGAGTTTACAATAAAGGTCAGGATGTGGCAGTCAGCTTGGCATGGCTATCAGTGGTGTGTGAGAAACGGAGTAAGACGAGTAAGACAAGGACTGGTAGAGTTACCTGGGCCACGAGGCCCAACAGTGACAGAACCTTTCGTCGGCACTTTCTGCTGCCCAGCTTTGCCGTCTTTGTTGCGTTTGTTTTCCTCTCCAACGAGAACTGAAGAGAAAATTTGAAGGAAGAGAAAAAGAAGAAGAGAGGCAAATGTCTAAAACGACAATTGCTACAAACAACAGCTTCACATCCTTGGAAATACATTAGGATAAGATTTAAAACAAGGAGTGGAACAAGAAAGTAAAGAGTTAAACATAAGTTGGAGAACGTGCCTGTAAAGTGAGTATGAAGGTAATCACGAATCTAGATAGTGAGAATGATCGGAAAAAACCTCAGAGTACAGTGCATTACTGAAAGTAAAAACATTCACAGCATAGAATGTACAAAGAAAACAAAGTAAAGCTCATAGACTGTAAGGCACTGATAGAATTTAACGCTTGATTGGGTAGTTCCTAAAGAAACAGTTGCGCTGTATCAACGGCAAGTGAATGAACGCTGAATGAAACCGCCGCTTTGAACGCCGCTTTGAACTTTGATACTTTAGTTTGGATGTATAAGTTGGATAAAAGCTATTAATAGAAAGTAAATAAAACAAAACAATAGCAGTAACAAAATGAGATTTTTCCCTAAAAGGTAAGCGGGTTTCCAATCATTCAGTCACGTTACGCTTTGCTTATAGATACACTCTACAAATACTTTTCATTTAGAGCAGCGTGTGTATGCGATTAATCCCTCGATTGCCTGTTACGTACGCGCGAAAATTCAACACTGAGTAACAGGTTTTGAGCAGCCTAGTCTACTCTTAACACTATCAGGGTTAATATACTTGTCATACCAGTTGGTTCTGGAGCATCTCTCAAGAAATCCACAAAGTAAGGTTCGGCGTCCATCAAGTTGGCTGTGTCTGCATCGAAGTCTTCCTCTATGACCTGTTTCAGCGTCTTCTCGAACCAATCCTTGTCTTGCTGGTTTGTGAAGCGATCAGCAATGACTCGGTTACACTCGTGTTTCCATAGATTCAGGAAAACGGCGGGAGTGGTGGCCACTTCAGACGTCACAGTCAACATGCCCTGGAAATAAATTTAGAAGAAACGTTACTTTTACTATCGCTTACGTTTTTTTTTCCACTCGCTAAAAGGGTAACAAAATACAATTTTCCACACTAAGATAAAACATGATGCAAAGATCAAAACCTGACAAAATCGTATCGGCTAGAGTAGCGTAGCGTTCAGTGTTGGTTCAAAACGCCAGTTTCATAAACCTAAAACAGCGATTGTACGCTTTCGAAACTCTAGTATCAAATTGCTTCCTTTCTGTGACAGTTCTACCCACAGTAGTGGAGTTTTAGTCCAGTTTACAGAGAGCTGTTTGTAGAGACTTTCGAGTCATTCATTGTTTAGTTCACTATTGGTTTGAATAGGTCCGTAATCTGCTGACAAACCTCGTGCAATATATTTCTGCCAACTACAGCAAAGAGTATAAGTCAAATCGCCAAACCGTCCAACTCACCATAAGTGATATATTTGCGTTTCGATATCTTTACCACGCTACTGCGCTACACGTTCGGGTTTCGGTAAACGCTACCTGCTCTAGAACGCGAGTTGTCTCGACGTTCTGTTTTCATACCTGCCATATTCGACTGAGATCCCTCAAATTGAAAATATAATGGAACTTGGCTGGTGTCGGCAGCATCTTAACTTTTGTCTTTTGCCAAAGCTTTCTCGTGCACGACACCAAAGGTTGGATCATTTTCTGCACCTCTTCAGGGAAACCGCGATCGGCGTTGAAGTATCCACTACCGATGGAGCTGAAGATCTTGTCGATGGAAGCATTTGCAGGCAGTGTGCAGTTCAAGATGGTGAACTGGCGTTTGAGTCGGCTTGGTATGTCGTTTCGTCCTCCGCCGGGCTGAATCATGGCAGCCACAAACTGAATGTCGACAATGTTGGTGAAATCTCCCGGTTTGTCAAGACTGTAGAATCCTTTCATTTCCATTACTTGTCTGACAATTTCGTTCGTGATCTGACATAAGGGAAAGGACATTGACATTCATCATTCAAAACGTTGAGAATGTTTCTAGACTCGTATTAATTAGTAATTAAGTTAATTTTACAGTTGAAATGAACCTTGTTGTGGGGGAAACTTAGGATCTTGTCTCAAAAGCAATTCTCTTTACCGTGTTTGAACATGTGATGAAACGATGTCTGTCGCGTTTAACGTATGGGCAACTTGGGAACTTGTCTCACAATAACATTATCTTGCGGTGTTTGAAAATGTGATGAAACACTGCCTCTTGTGTTTAAAGTATTAGTAAAACGCAACCTTAAGGTTTCTAGAGGCAATTTGACAGGCAGAATACATCAAAATAGTTATCTAACTATAATGTTAAATAGTTATTGATTACTTATAACTATATTATCAATACTTCATTTTGGATTACCTGATCTCCCCACTCATTAATGATTGGCATGTTGATATCATCAATAAACACAGTCATTTTCTTGCCTGCTGGTGGACCGTATGTTGTGCCCATTCGTTTGTCCACATAACTCTCGATGGTACGCTATTTCAAACACGAAAGAAAAGGATTCAAATGAGCCACGAAAACTATATGCAGTGGAATCGTCTTTCATGTTGTAGATGGGTTCTGCTCCTACCTGGAGGAAAATTGCTGACTACACTTACAATATACTACCAACTACCAGTTCTGTTACGTTTGCTACACAGACTGAGAGACAGTACTGCAGTAGATTTGCGGCCTGTAGTATTTTTTTCGAGAGTCGAGGGAGCAAGACCAATAGAGAAATCTTCGCTGGCGTCATCTGTTTACATTTTTCTTCATTAGTATATTAACCTTTTCCGGGGAAGGCATCGTGCTACGAATTGATTTTTATAAAGCTTAACTGATATTTATAGAATTTAAAGCTGAGACATCGGTGTAATTTGTAGCTCTGACGGAGATACTGGCTTTCAAAAACTAAAATTTCTGGGTGGCAAAAGCTTTAATGAGCCCACACATTCCTTTTAGAATTTTGACTATTTATACTCGACTAAGTCTAAAGCACCCAATCAATACCCATTCCCTTGTAATAATGAGAGCTGATATTTTTATACCTCGAACAGAAAGTGAAACGCTTATGCTCAGGAGAAAACTATTTTACACGACTCCCTTAAAGACCCAGTTTTCGTCAGGATGCTTAGCGCGCTGTGCAACATTGGAAAATAGAAACCTCGCTATCATGTACACCAAAACAATAACAGACGGACGACAAGCATGACGGTCAATTCTGGGTCTTTAAACAAAGCCGTAAATCAAGCAAGTCAAACACTGATACGTTGAGAAAGGCTCTGTGTAAATTCAGAGTACATAAAACGTCTCTTACCTGGAACATATTTGGCGTGGTTGCAGAGGAGAAGTTCATAGATTTAAAGAGCTGCTGTTCTGGGTCATATTTACTACAGTAACCCTTCATCATGACTGTCTTAGCCGAGCCCTGCTCACCAATCAACAGCACAGCCTGTCAACCAAGAGAGGATTGAAAAGCCGTTAATACTGATAACAGCTTAATAACGTAACAAAAAGAGCAATTCCTGCATTGTGAAGAAACAATGCAAACAGAGCTTTGAAGAGCGATAAACTTCGAATTCTATCCATACCCATATTTAGCATGTACGCACGGGAAATGTTTCATTTGGTAAGAATATGTCGGGTTGTGTGAACTGCCAAGAATTCCGTCTGTAATGAGGTTTCTTGCTCTAAAACTGGAATTCCAGCTAAACAGCCTTAAGGAAAACTTATCGCGTAATTATGGCTATCCGAGAGATAATTTGAAACAGTTTCTGCGCTAAATCGTCAAAAATCGAAATTTTCAACTTAGCTACGCTGAGATGATTCCCATGCATATCTATACAATTTCGGACCAGAGAACAACTTGCAATGGCAGCAATAACACCAACGAAAACTGTTCAAATAAATTCTGGTTAATTCCTTTTGAAGAGAACAATTCTTATCGACCGTTTTGAACAGACTGTTATCAACAATACTCGTAATTAAAGCTGACGCAACCTTGCAATAAAATACTCTGACTTTGATAAGAAATTTATAATTTCCTGATCAGATACAGTGATTCTCAGAGATAGAAATTCCGCATTAACGAGCTTTCCATTCGACCACAAATACCGGTTTGCTTTTCTGAAAAGAGGACAACCCGGAAATTTCTTACCGGGAATTTCTGTTCCATTTGATTTTCACCCCGGGATTTCCAGATTTTTCGGACCGTCGAATGGTTCGCATTTCGGAAATTTGACAATTTTTGGATTTTCCGGAAAATTTCCAAGAAATTTCCATTTGCGCCCATTTCAAAAGTTCCCGAATTTTTTGGTGGAATGGAAAGCGCCCTTACTCTCTGACTGTTCACTAAAATACACGCATGCAAAACCAAAATTTTCGTTAAGAGAGGATTTTATCTACAGGAAAAAAAGAAGACTCATAGCTACCTTGCTCTGTTTGGCCAAAGCGTGGATGAGATAGTCTGTTCGTGTGTTGTCGACGTTTGGTACCAGAATAGACGCATACTCAGGAATGGAGGTCTTTGGATATTCGTACACTGGAACCTAAAAATCAAGGCGGAAATAGGTAAACTGGAGCCACAGAGAAGATTAAAGGAGTTAAGTCACGTGGCCACGTACAAAATTATCTTTAAATTGAGGAAACCTGAAAATAATAGTTTACTAAGAAAGAAAAACATCAAAGGGATAGTACTAAACCATAAAGGTACAAGGATGGTTGAAGATTGGGAAGATTAACACGGATTACAAACGACGCAATTGAAAAATTTAGGCTTAACCTTTTCGAGACGCGCAAACCGTGACGTAGCTTCTTTAACAAACTCTAGCGTAAGTTGTCCAGTTTAATGAACTTACCCTCTCTGACCAGTGTTCCCAATCTCCTTGTTCGTTTACCAAGTATTCGAAAATTGTGTCTTGCCCATCAGCTGGGGGTAACTTGAGGGTGTCTTTGCCAGCTAAAAATCCCTCCATCTGCAATCAAAGAGAGGAATAATATCATATATTGGACCTTTCCCTTTGATTACATCATGTTGTATCATTACTTGTTTATAAGCCTAATTAACCTTGATGTATAGGCTGTCCACTTGTTTCGATTTTAATTACATGAGTATGACTCTGAAATAGAGCTGAGCCGAAATATTGTAAACCTTTCTTCACTGTAATAAACCAAACTTGGTTTCAACACTGATAACAATTTTCGGTGTCGTCTTGTTTTCCTCTATAACTGTCTCAATTACAAGATGATAAACTTCTTTGCTTTGCTACAGTCGGTCTGACAGCATTACCTTCTTCCTATCCTCTAGCTCAAGTAAAGCTCCAACACTCCACATGAGACAAAACACAAACAGTTTTTCCAAATGACTCGCATCGGCTTGTTTAGGAGCATCCTCGCCTGGAATCAAACCTTCCAGAATATTCATGGCTTGGACAATGTTATTACACTCTAGGACCTTAACAGAAATAAGACCACACAGGTTAGAATAAGGCTCTTAAAAAATATTAATACAATTTGCAAATTCGTGCTTGTTCTTGTGTCCACGAGTTGAAGTATTCTTGTTGTAGGTTAGAAAGCTCTCTCTCCCAGGGTTGCCACAGACATCACTTTTCAAAATTCCCTGACTTTTCCATGATAAGAATAGAATTTCCCTGACCAAATAAATACAAAATGCCAGGTATAGTAGCGACTTCTAGCCTCCTCTTTCAGCCGTCCTTTCTACTCGTTCATTGAGACTGACAAGTTTTCAACAAATTTTCCTTCTCTTTATTACGTAAAAATATCGTTGAGATCACAATGATCCCAAATGTTTCTTCCAGCCTTCAGTGGTATTAAATCAGCCGTGTTAAATTATTTCAATTTTTCTTGACTTTTCTTTAAAATATCAATTTTCCCTGACTCAAAATAAAATTCCCTGACCATTTCCTGACCTGTGGCAAGCCTGTCTACGGATATTTCTGGTTGGTTGTTACTTGTTTTGAATTTTCGCGCAACCAATCAAAGACAAAGTCTCAGAATGTTCTCAAAAGGGCGCGGTGAAGAACTGATCACACAAAAAGAGACATCTCTTGACCCAAGCTATTCTTACTTGAGTCAAACCTTCCAGTGAGGATCTTCCAGAAATATTTCACTTTTAATAGATAGAAAAAGACCAAACAGACATTCTTCCATTTCTTTTATCAAACATGACAACGCATTATAGCTGTATATTCTAAGCAAAAAAATTCGATCATATTGTGATGATTGGTCTTAAAAGAAAAGTGTGCGGAAGTCAATATTATTTATAAGCCAATTTATGAACAATGTACAGTAAGTCACCTACCTCCATCTTTGGAAAACAATTCTGAATCACAAATGTCCTTAATTCGTCAAAGACGCTCTCAAACAGCGGGAAAAGGACATCTCTCTCCAGTTGAGGACGAGTGTTTAACCATCCCTGGTAATGAAAAAAGACCACATTGATTAATATACAGGGATAAGTTCGAGATAGAGACTTCGAGATGGCGAAATTCTACAGTATTGATGATATCAAATCAAGCTCGTTCAGTTTGGACTAAAAGGAATGAAAGATAAGAAAAAAAATAGGAAGATAAGTTTTGTTTCGGACCCTTTGTGTGTTCATTCTTTTTGACCCTCGACTAGCCTTTCGCTTTTGGCATGTTTGCCACAGACATCAGTTGTCAAAATTCCCCGACTTTTCCCAGATAAAAAGAAAATTTGCCTGACCAGATATAGTAGCAGCCTCCAGCCCACCCCTACAGCCATCCTTTCCTTCCATTTATTACTAACTGATCGTTTTCAACAAATTTACCTTCTTCATAAAGTAAAGAGACTATAGAGGCCTGAAGAGCCTCTTTCAGCCTTCAGCAGTTTTTAATCAGCACTGTTATAATTTACATTTTCCCTGACTTTTCTGTAAAAAGGCCAATCTTCCCTGGCTCAAATAAAAATTCCCTGACCTTGAAGAAATTTATTTTTTTTCCTGACCATTTCCTGACCTGTAGTAGCCCTGTTTGGGACACACCTATCCCGTCATGTAAGTAAAAGAGAGCAATATCGAAATGTACCTCTAAAATAGGTCTCCAGTCCAGCGCAGATGAGCTCATGTACACCATACCATTTCTATAACAGAGAACAGATAGTACTTATAGTCACAAACATACGCTTAAAGGGGTTAACACAAAAAGCTGTAAAACAAAGAACTAAATGAAAAAATTCTCAGATTGCAACTTAAGAAAGAAGAAGTAATTTGAGACGAGTCTCGTCCTGTAGTCGCTTGTGGGATCGTTACTTGTGCCCGTTTTTAAAAATGGAAAAAATAACGAGAAACGAAAATAACGTAAACTGCCCAGTGTAGTAAATGACAAATGAATGCGTCTGGCGGCTCAATCAGTCAGTTCTGTTGAAAAATCACTCAGTTCCTGCGGTTCAAGCAGTGATTTCTCTTGCTGCAAATCACTCCAAATTGAAAACGACAATTTTACCTCGAGACCGTAGCAGGTGAAGCGTTATCAATGTTGTGAGGCTCAAAGACAACTTTACAGTTGGGCGCCATTGGAATACGATCACCGTTTGCCAGTGTCAGTGTCTTGTTATCGTCTAACACGCTGTTGAGGTTCTCAATCCAGATGGCGTCCACGGGACCATCTAAAACAATCCAGATGTGCTCTCCCTGGCAAGAATGAAAAGCGATATTAGAGGGGTCGGTTGAAAACTGCTCTAGTCAGCCACACCTTTGTTTTTGTTTACATGCGAGAGTTTGGCTATTATATTTTATTCGGAGCATATCGAAACGAAGGAAATCACTGTAAAACTACAAAAGATAATTAAACATACTTTTAGGAACACAGCTTACAGTAAAGCAATAAAATTTCGCTTCATCATGCAATATCAATAATTTCGATGGCATCGAAAATGGCGGAGGCTGACTAGGGTCCTTTAAGGTACTGATTACCACACTTTGTTTCCCCTCTTTTTTCTGCATTGCAAGCAGAAGCATATTGTTATCTCAACACAAACAATCACGATTTTGAATTATTATATGGCTAGCTCCGTGAGTGGGCAAGAGCAACCAAATCCTGCGCTGTGATTGGCTACCAGAGCGGACAAGATGGCGCTATCTTTCCCGTTCGGGATTACACGCTGTGTCCCGCAAGAAAAAATTCCCCGACGATCATAATTTTGGTGTTCTTTATCCCATATAATAAATCCTTTATCGACCGAGCTTGTTCGGTCAAGACAACTGGACGTTGGCCTTGTCCTTTTTTTGCGTGTTTAGAGACTAGGACGGAGCCGAGGCTGAAAAAATATGCAGGAATGAAGCAAGCGATTCGCGCGAGAAGTATAGAGATTGCTTTGACATCCTGTTTCACGACATATAGGTTATTCACCTTCTTTGCCCTCAAGGTTCGTCTCCACAGCGTGGAAAAGATACCATCAGTCCAGTCATTGGTAGAAACGTCAAGCCGTCCAAACATCTGAGGCGCAGTGATAGCCTAGTCAAACGAAACAGTGAAACAGTGTTACAGTTAAAGATCATAGAGTGTTATTAGAAAGAACTTGATTCCACACAGCTTACAAGTGCTCGGGTTAATTATGATCAAGGAACGATTCTCTCATTACCCTAGGAGCTGGTTAACAAGAGGCGCTTTCCACTCAACCAAAAATTCCGGACCTTCTGAAACGGCCGCAAAATGGTACGAAAATGTCCTTGGAAAGTTTCTGGAAAGTCCGAAAATTGCTAAATTTCCGAAAGGCGAACCATTCAACAGAAAATGCTGGAAATCCAGGGAGGAAAATCAAATGGAACAGAAATTGCGGGACACAAATTTTCGGAAAATTACGTATACCTCGCTAGATTGTCCTCTTTTCCAAAAATTCTGGAAAATGCTGTTCCTCTCGCCCCTGGAAATGTCCGGAAATGCAAACCGGAATTTTTGGTCGGATAGATTGCGCACAAGAACGCCCCTGTACATCAGTTAATTTGAAGACAATACAAGGAAGGCAAACATTGAAGTTATGATATATCACTATTACAAACGCAGGTCACTGATTACCTTGGGATTCATTCGGTACTCTTTGTGCGGGGCTCCACACTGAGTCATGGCCTTCATTAGAATGTTGATGCACTTCGTCTTGCCGGCACCGCTTGGTCCCAGGGCCATCATTCCGTGTCGAACACGCTGGGTCTCATACAACTGGTTAACAAGAAAACAAAAATCATAAGTTGACCATGACCTACCTGTGTGCGAGCTTTGAAACGGTTAACGTATTAGCTTGTGACCACAGACCACTCTCTCTCATCCCTTCTGACCGGTGTCACCCAACCGGCGGAGAGCGATAAGAGACGCCTGTATTCCGGGCTTACATTTTCTTGACAGATTTTCATAGATTAAAATAATATACAGTTAATATACAGTTGTTTCGAAAAAGGTTTTCCTTCAAAAGCGTAAAAGCGTAGGAGAAACTTTGTCGAAACAGCTGTAAAGCAACGTTACACAAGTTATACAGGTAAGACATAACACCTGAATCAACTTGAGCGTCCAGGGAGGGTGATTAACAAGCTTAACTTCTTCAACAGCATCAGCAATGGCCTGCTCAATATCCGGGTACCCAGCTTTGTCAAGAGTGAGGCCTGGGAACAAGTCGTCGATCAAGCTCATAAAGAGTGGTTCATCTTCGTCCACAAGCTTGCTCAAGTTCATGTCGCGAAGAACTCTCATCACAATACGATCTTCACTGTCCTGTCAGCGGAAGACAAAACAATCAGTATAGGGCGCTGGACTAGTGACTTTGAAGAAAAGTCATGTCCTGGAGTGAAAGTATCCTCGCGCGCTTACACACATACATACTTTGTTTATACTCGAGGACCTGGAGCTTACGGGATTACTTAGAAGACAGTAGTAAAATATGGCATATGAAATTCTCAAAATCATTGTTTAATCAACCGTAACGGTCAGGGTGTTTGGATATCTGATCTTAATCAGCATAGATTTTTATGATTTTATTTCTCCGTTTTCTCCTTAGTTTCAGTTTCGATTGAGAAGATGTAACAAATACTCCAGACAGTGTTTAACGACATTTCCAAACACCTCGTCTCGACGTTCGTCAAAAATACTCCGCTGCGCGTCTTATTTTCAACTCTCTTCTCGGTATTTGGAAATATGATGAAACACGGTCTTTCGCGTTTGATATCAAACTTAAACAATTTGTATAGGAGTAAACAAGTTAATACTCAGTTCAAAATTAAATAAAGTTTCACGGTGATTTACCTCAGGATTGGCTCTCTTCACTGCTCCAAGAGTTCTAAGCACGGACAAGATGTTACGAAGACCAAAATCGTAATGCACCTGACATGAAAGACAAAAAGTTTCAAAAAAAATCAAAATCATTCTTCATGAGATCTTACCCCATTATCAGAAGCTTTGCCATAAAACGGGACCTTTTTTGCTTCAGTATCTACTTAATTAAAAAACAAATGAAGGAGTATCTGAGACGTCGCGCTCATTTTTCAGCTAGAGGTTTCAAGCAAAGCTAGCATTTGCCTTCATTTTCATTACTCAGAGACTTGCGTCAAGTATATTTCTGTGGATCTGATTTCTAATTGCTCAACTGACAGCAGTTCCTTCGTAATAGCTTTGAGTCTTTTGGATACAATTCATGTGTATGATTTTTTTTCCAGGGCGAAACGGAACCAACCAATTAACAAACAAACAAACAAACAAACAAACAACAAGCAAACATAAGAAACGAAAGAAAAGTAATGAAAGCAGACAGTCATCTAGACAGGGAAGCAGGCAGGCAGAGACAGGCAGACAGACAGACAGACACATACAGGCAGGCAGGCAGGCAGACAAACAGACAGACAAATAGACAGACCTGTTTGGTGAGCTGCTCCTCGCACAGTTTGTAGAGCGTGAAGAACTTTTGGGAAAGGTTAATATTCCTGATGAAGCCGCTAGCAGCCAGTTTCACTCGGATGATGATCTGACGGTCCGGCACCATCATGGCCACTGTACGAAACATGATCTTCAAGTTTTCTGGCAACTCTTGTCGTCCAGCATAGCCTGGGTTCTGTTGAAAAATAGTTTGAAAATATAAACCTTGTTTGCTAGGAGTCTGACCTCCGAGAATGCACCGAAACGGCAATTTGCGTTAGATGAATTGCTTAGCAGCAATAAGTAGCCCCAAAGCCAAAGCCATGCAACAAGAACAAAAACCACACAATTTATCTACACCACAAAGAAAGCTTGTAATAATTAACTTAAAAACCAAGCTGAAAGGAAACAGGATGCACTAGTTTTTTTGGTAGGCGATTCAGAAGAAGAACCCATTCAGACATTTCTAAGAAAATTTGACAAAAAAAAAAGGAAAAAACGACAGCAAACTTCAATTTAAATATTTATTAATCAGCCTTCGTTAGACTAAAGGACGTATTAACTGAATTATTAGAAGCGGATAAATATTAAATAAGCATGGCTGGAAATAGATATTTTCAAAGGGTGTCAATGTAACAGGCAGTGCATTGCAACTGTAGATGAAAGTAGGCAAAATATGAAAACAAACAGACATTTCAAAGAAACCTTCATTAGCTTCTTAGAGCAATAAGTCACGTATTCTATCCCACGTGACAGTTATTTACCATTGTTAAGAAGATGCCGAACTCTGGGTCCATGTCAACCTCGTCACCGTCAGTGAATATGAACATTTTCTTTCGCTCTTTCTTGCACGTGAGCACCACGTGAATCTGTTGTGCAGCCACTGACAACACGGGTAGCTCGATACGGTTGAATTCGTCAAAACAGCCCCAACTGCCTGACTGGGCTAGGCCTGTTGGAACAAAGAATATACCCCCGTTACAATTCACTCTTTAATGTTTCTTTCCAATTCTTGCTGAAAACCTTTACGTAATTTTATTGATCACTGAAACGTTCGATTTGTGGATCACTTCTTAGGCCACAGTGTCAGCTGGTGACAAAAATCGTTTGCTATTTGTTTATAACTATCTTTAGTACAAATTAAACGTTTTCAGTGAATCCGAAGAGATATACCTACTGAAGGTAATAATTGGGAAAACTAGAAACGTTAACGGCAAAAACGACGAGCAGAGCGCAATTGTATCCATCACAGCTGTTCGACACTCCCTCTGAAGATATTTTCACACTAGTCTTTCAATAACTGTTTAATGGGACTCTGAATAAAGAGATTTACCTTTATAAATTCGACCCAAGCCACGGTAGTCCATCTGATCAGAGCAGTTGAAGACGACAACAAATTTACCCAGGGCTTTACCCATATCCTATGAAGACAAACAAAACGAATATTAAAGAGACTGAAATGCTACTGCTAAATACAAATACAAAACGTAGTACATGGTTTCGTAGTATAAGTAGTAGGGTTTACTGCTCATATAGTTAAAAAGGGCTGGGCCTAGTTTTAAACTTAAAATAATTCAGATTTGTAGTTATTGTATCAAAAAGTTACGCTGTTATGAGGAGAAATTGTTTGGTTTGCATTTAGGCCAATTATATTGCAAGAAACACGTAAAATTTGCAAACTAATACTGCAAATTGCTCCTACTGCAACAGTATATTTTTGCAGTTCGAACACCATTGGCATCTATGAAACAGACGTTGGTGTCTTTATCTGTAGGAATTCCCTGGCTTGGGCACAACCTACCAGCCTGTCAATGTTGTGAAACCATTACCTTTGTTGTCTCTGTCTTTCCAGTTCCTGCCGGCCCAGCAGGGGCACCACCCATTGACATTCCAAGAGCCTGGGCCAGAGTGATGTAACATCTGAGGAAGTGGTAAAAATGTTAGATTCCAGGGAGAAAAAACACGGAAGTGCGTGGAATAACTGCTAGCGCGAAAAGTGAGTCTATAAATAATGAGTGTGATGAGTGACGCGTAAACAAATGTAACTAACTATTCTTCGCACATGTCCAAAGAACCAAAACCTCTCCTGGCTTCCTCAGGGAGGATCAAACATCGTTTTCTCTACAGAACGGACACGAAAAATTTAAAACAACAACAACAAAAATTTTATTTCACTCCAGAGTTTACATTACAATGTTGTAGAACAAATACAAAAATGATGGGGGTGCTGCCTATCCGAAACAACCTAAGAGTTAAAAATGCCAGGCAGCCAGTTAAAAGAAAATATATATTACATGTTAAGGTCAGGGACACAAAACAAACAATCAAACAAGAAGACGTCTAGAAAATGTCCGTCTGGAAATTTGAAAGCATGCTTACCTGTCAGTCAAGGGAGTGATGACGAGTCTGTCTGTACAGCCCAAGAATTCATTTTGATAAGAAAAGTCAACGTCAGTGATGGACACGATACATTCATCAGTCTCTTCACGGAAGTAGAATCGTGACTGTTTCAGCCATTCGAAATCTGTCGGCACCTTGATATTCTTGCGACACTGGTGAGACATTGAAGATGTGTTGAGTTTCACTCTATACCCTTCCTTTGAATGTCATCAAAGGCGACCAGATTTACTTTAAAATTGATAAGAAGCGGCTAACTACTGACACAGACTGGTGAAAACTGTGATATATAATTGATGGAAATGTGTAATTTTCTTGGTGACCCTGAATCCAGATCGAATTGCATTTAGAAATGTGAGTGTGTTTAGGGAAACGAAAAACCAAGGAAACATGCTGGGAAAAAACAACAGAACACTCAGAACAAGGAAAAATCAACAACCATGGCCAAAATTTAATGCGAGGAGGGAACACACTGATCTTTACAAACCATTCTCACACGCTTTTTACACGACCTACCTTCTGTTAGTTTCCCAAGCGCTCCTGTCAATTAAACTGCCAACTTATCACCTTTATCTAGCTTGCCATCTCCAACACTCAGGCTAACTAGTTGTGTCTGGACCACATTATGACACATTAATAGTATAAGACAAAGACCAAAGATTCCTTCTTACCAGTTCATCAAAAATGTCCCTTTGATGAACATGAATGGTGACAAGGGTTTCAAACTTGACACGTTCCACTTTTGTTAGTTCTTGTGTGGTGATCTCGATCAACTCGTTTAACATGTTCAAGAAAAACTGGTTTCTCTCATCCATGATCTACAAGAAAGTTATAATACTTGCTTAAAGATGATTCATTGACGACTGCAACCTTTTTCGCCAGAGATAAGATAATTACACATACCAGTTTAATCGACGTTCGTTTTATTCCCTTTCCGCTAGTATCAATGAAATATTCTACGTCGACGCAACGACCCTTGTTAGCGATCAAACGCAGACCACCAGATCTGGAATCTAACCTTTACGTCACCGCATCAAACAAGCCCACAAAAACACTGTCTTACCTTTTTGTTTGATTTTACATATGTTAAGGAGTCTTCTGCATCTCTTGTCCAGATCATTTGTATTCCAAGCAAACCGACCTGAAGACAAGAAATGATATTGGGGAGTTAGTGTGACGCTGAACGGTTTGCCTTGTTCACCGCAAGCTACATACATGTTGGCCAGTGTATTTACAACATATAGCCCCAGTACAGTAACAAAGCCGCTTTACCTGTGCTGGATAAGTATCCAAGAAATCTTTGAGCTTGAAACTGGGATCTTTGATGGCAATCGAGGCGGTGCGGATGACAGAGTGTAAAGAAGATCTGGATTCCATCAAAAGTGTGTTCAGCCACACTTCCACATTTCCCTAGAACGAAGGAGTTGCAGTACCAATAAAGTTAAACGTAAAGACAGAGCGCACCCCACAGGTAATCCCTCCCCATACATAGCCCACTTCACTGCGTTCTGATGTCTCTCCCATGGATATAGCCCCACCTGTGCACACTACAGTGGAAAAAAGGGTCTTAAATTGCTTATTTGTTTCTACATCAGCTGATGAAATGATGAAATTCTGCTGCTGTTAAAGTGTACCCATTATACCATTACGTGGGTGTGGTCCCCATCCATGAACGTTCCCTTTCATCATATTCGTAATCTTACGTCATTCTTCGACGACGGCACCAAAGAGTGCAGAGGTGGTGTCCAATTACAAGACCTTTGTCTAATTTAATTATTTACTTTACTGCGTGCAGCAGACAGATCCGATATGGAGTGTAGGACAGCTGAGTTGGTCTTCAATGCGTCAAAAGATATACGCAACTTTCGACTTGTTTGTATACAACATGATCAGTAGCCATAGACCTACCTGGGCCATAACTGGATTATCCAAGTTCACAGACTCTCCCTCGCGAGAGTTGATGGCAAGAATCTTGTCATAGTCTTTCTCGTGGAACGAAACTGTCTTCACGTTATCGAACACACCAAGCAGGTGAGCCTGGATAGTGTGTGAGTCACTGGCCTGACCTAAGATTTCCAACAAGGCAGGATCTGACACGAAGAAGAAACGTGGGAACACCAGGCGCTTCTTTTCCAGATACCTTTGTATTGTTAACAAGAAATATTCATCATCAACAAGTTGTTAAATGGATAATGACAAGCTGGTAAGCTACACAACTGATAGTTATGGAGTTGCTGCCAGAAAACACTCCTTTGAAACAAAGCTTATCGTGTCCTTTGATCATAGCACAACGAAAGTTTGTAGTTTGTTGGCAAATATTCACAGAGGGAAGTTTTGATTCTCGCATGGTTTCAATATTTAGTATTTGCGTAATACTCAATCATAACGAAGTAGTAAGAAAAGACCATTTTCATATTCCCGGTATTGGACTGGAACTAGCTTGCAAGTGAGGCTAATGCGGGGAGTCTGTTCAAATGCAAATGACATTAATCTCTTTTTAATAAGATTCCCCCACACGAGCCTCCATTGCAAGCTAGTTCCAGTCCAATGCCGTGAATATGAATATGGGGTCTATTACACGGCTTGATGGTTGATCAACCAACCGAGCGATCTACCGACCCACCGACATGCAACAAAGTGTGTCATAACGGTATACTACCTTGTTTTCTGACTTCTCTGATGAACATGGACCGCTCACGCCAAACAAAGGTCTCCCCCAACCACTTTCCCTTCTATCATTCCATTATAAGTTAGCACCATTGTATACCCTTCTTAATTCCATACCCGGGCAGTAATAATAATTCCTTGCTTACCCACTGAGAGATTTCTGACAAATCTCGAGCTGTTCCAGAATGTGTGGTAGCAGTTGTCCCAGCGTGTCGTCACCCATACAGCACTGCACTACATTGGAGTTTTCGTGGGCTCGGCTCATGATCTTCACCCAGGATTTGTCAATCTGGCTGAAACGCTTTGCTTCCTGTGGATTACAAAATGACAAGAAAACAATATTAAGACGAAATCCGGTAGGAAATCGAGCGATTTCAGTTTTTAATGGACAAAAACCTTGTACCAGAATAACGTTCAATATATTACGGTCCTTTTTGCATTTTCTAAAAGCTAAAGATATAAGCCATTTCCTGAGATAACACCAAAACAATTTCCCATGGGAAAGTTCAGAGAAATTGTACAAACACAAGTAAAATTTCAACATCAGTTATATTTCACCCGTACTTTCAAGTGTTTCTTACAAACTTCAAAATTTGTTTTCGACAGTTGGTGTAGTTAGAAATGATTTCTTTTGAGAAGATATTTAAAAGTCGCACAGAAGTTTGCAATACGACGTAAATAATCTCGGTACAGAGTTTTTGTCCACTTGTTACCCGAACTTGTGGTGGATTCCTTCTTAATAGCTTTTCGTAGTGAAAGGTTAGGTGAAACTAAAAAATGGGACATTCGGGTCGTGTTCTATTGGGATCAACAGTTTTAAACGGAAGCAGTGGGGTTGATACGGTTGACTTTTTTCAGTAGAACACCTTTCCAAACGTTTTCGGTGGAAACGCGGTAACTCCTGGGAATAGTCCTTACCAGACCTCCGTGTTCGAGTTCGTTCAAGAGTTAACAAGCCGCCAATGCTTTTTCAACCTGGTTTGAGGCCGGTTGAACAAGTTGATCATCCAAAAACCAACCGAGAACGGTTTTTCCCCAATAGAACACGAAAAAAAACATCCAACCAGAAACGGTTGATCCCAATAGAACACGACCTAATCTGCAAAATAGGGTCATAACTATGCAAGTCTCCAAAACATTTAACAAACCTGAGGTAGCTGTTTCGCAATGTCTCCACCCACAAACACAGCCTCTAAGTAAACCCACAAGTTCTGCACAACCAACCAGTTCTCGATAATCTCTGTAGAACCCGTCAGTTTCGCTACCCACTTCTGAATGTCCGCTTTGAATGGAGCATTGTACCTTTAAGGAAAAAAGGTTCCTTCGTCAAAGGCGTGTTCTGTCATATTAATCTGGGTCACTGCTCAATCGTTCAGGAAGAAACGTGAAAAATCATTGACTGTGTGGCTGCTACAGTCAACTCTAAGTTAAGGTAAATAGATGTTTGAAAATAACAAAACGTCCTTCAAAACTTTAGAAATTATCTGATCTCGTTTACAAAACTAACGATGATCATGTAATGAACATATATGCACCTTAGATGCTACACTAAAATTTTTTACAGTCACTGGCTATGTCTTGAGCTCATGCTGGAGTCATTCGCAGTAAAAATACGACTAACTAACAATTTCAATCCATGAAACTTCGGCTCTCACAGTTATTCGTATTAAATCTGCGAACATGGCCTTAACTTGAGCTGAAAACTAAGTTACCGTATTTTCTGCGGTGAAGAATTTAACAGTTTTTAGTAAACTTAGTATTTTTCAACTGTTCCTAGTTTCGTCCTTATGTATAATATTGATCTTTCACGCTAATGAAATAACCTTTCCTTAACTTTGTATAATCATTTTTTTTTTTTTGAAAAGTCGTCTTCCCATAATTTCAGTATTGCTCCTTATGTACCTGTTGCTAAGCAAAGAACCGAGTATCATCAAACTGTCTTCCATCAAGGACACGATATCAGAAGTCTCTCCTCCTTTGAGGAGCAGCTCGCCACGATTCTTGAAGTTTGCAAATGAAAACACTTGCGTGCTCCACTCAGACACCACTCCCTTCAGCTTGAAGTCAATGTCACGTTCTTTCACTGCAGCGATGCAAACATCCTAGAACAAGCAACGAAAGGGTTTCATGAGCATAGAAAATGGCCACCATAATATAAACTGAAAGTCCATTAGTCTGATATGCCTTGATCGCATTTGGTTTGCTGCTGCAGGCTACAATCATACAAATATTCGTTTTCAGGAATGATAGCGAATAAAACAGTGTATGCATTTGGCAAAAGCGAGAGAAAGAGATGAAACTATTATTAATATACAATGGACCTTTTTACCGATATCACGCTTTTCCGATTTTTTTTGATTCCAACAAAAAATAAACCGCACCGCTCGATTTATAATGTCGAGTGTAGTAAATATGCGAAGTTTCACTAGAATTCGTTGCAAACTCATAAAAATATGGGAGCCCTAACTTGCCAATTTTTACAAAGAAATGTGTGCCAGGTTTGGGTTCCCACAATTCTACGAGTTTCCAGCGGATTCTTATAAACCTTCGTAGATCTACTAAATTCGACATGATAAATTGAATTATGGAGGTGAACTTTCGTTTATTTCAAAAATAAGAAAAACTGTTGATGTTGCGTAACATCGGTAGAAAGGTCCATTCCTGAATGAGGCCAAATTGTTGGTCTATGAATTTGAATCCGACTTGAGCTAACAAAGCGGTTTTTTAAAGTGTGTAATAGCATCGGTATCCCGTCATAATGTACCTCGATGTCTTCCTTGTTTGGTAACAAAGGAGCACTCATCAGTTGTCTGAGCTGGAACGTCTCAGATTCCACATCCAACGTTACACCGGTGATGGTGGAGATTCTCTCCCAATGGCGCTGCTTCATCGCCTTGTGAGCCATCATTTCCAGAAGTGGACAACATTCGCTGAAATCGTCAATTGTCTTCTTGAGGTCTAAAAAGGCTTGCCACTCCTTCAGAGCTTTCGGCAGTTTGCGAATCCTGAAACAAAATCATAGGTGTGTCGAGCTCAGATACAACAACAACGTTGACTGATTGCTCTGGTGCACGCCTTTTAAAGATTCATTCGTTACATACGACAGCCAATAAACTATTAAAAAAAAAATGCAATATGTAGAGAGGAAGCTGCATCAGCCTTGGCTGGTTTTCCTGATCCTGATCCATCCTGATCGAATTGGAGGGTTGGTTTTTGTGGAGGAAGGAAAACCGGAGAACCCGAAAAAAAACTCTCCGAGCAAGACAAGAACCAACCACAAACTCAACCCACATATGGCACCGGGCTGGAATCGAACCCGGGTCACATTGGTGGGACGCGAGCGCTCTCACCACTGCGCCATCCCTGCTCTCCAAAACTGTTTGGGGGTGACTTCAAGAATCGAGGGACCATCCCTGCTCCCCAAACATACCTGTTCTGGTATTCCAACAGTTCATTGTTGATCTTCTCGATGTCAATCTCCTGCCACAGAATGTCGTAGTAACCGTTGACATTATCGATGACAGAGTTGTATAAGTTGTACAGTTTCTGAAGCAGGCTCAGTTCTTTTCTGATTCTCTGTAAGTTTGGATACTCAGTCATTGTCAAACCAAACAGCTCCTCGCCACCTTAAAATCACATTAAAACCATATCATAATCATGATAGGGCCTCTCACATCTTCAAACATCTTCAGAATTCTGAACGTTGTCGCTCATTGTGTTCAATAGACTGCTTTCATATTTTAGATCACNCAGAAGCTCTGTCGAAACATGTCTTGCAAACTTAAAAAATTGGTCGTTTTCCTTAAAATATTTACATGTCTGCTGCTATCTAGACCTTTTGGAAATAATCAGAAATATAATGACACAATAACAGCAATACAACTTTAATGTTTTTACGATTTACTCGGGATAAAACATGCAGCATTTTTTAATTGTTGTATATTCTACTTTCCATACAACATATTTAAGGCACTGGTATTTGCTTTTTCATATCACATCTGGTTCGCGCAAAATTTATGTGTTACCAATTTTCAATTTTTGTTTTTGTTTATCGTTTCCATGGAAATATCGACTGCCTTACGAAATACATGAAACCAAACTTCAATCCATTTCCAGTAGCTGGTGAAACTTTCATATCGATCCAGCTGAGGGAAGACTGTTTAAAAGCTGATTGAAAATTATTAGCATGGTCCAGAAAACACTGTATCGAGACACCTTCAGCTGTACTTATTGTGAGCCGAGTTGCAAAATGTACTCTTGAACACGACGGTAACCGGCGTACCAAATCACTACCAAATTCACCAATTTGTTCGTTTTGTTTTATTTGTTTCATTTTTTTTGTCAGGAAGAGGGTTCGACGTCTGCGTTATGACGTAGGAAACGCCGCCTTTCTACACCGGAATGTATCCTTCCGTTTATTCACAGTTATTGAAGGCATTGTTCGAATTAAGCATTCGACCGCAAGCGAATTAAAAGTTGATCTACTGTTAACGTTTGGTTGAGTGTAGTTCTCAAACAAGACATTGTTGGTGACCAATTCTTATCACTCTAAGCGGAAGTTGATTGTGTTATGGTTGAACGCGACCAAAAGAATAGTGTTAAAGCTCATAACGCTTACCAGAGTACGTTTCATACTTTCTCCACAGTTCGTCAAATCGCGCTTGGAAAATGCCCAAGCGATCGCTAGCTTCTCGTGGAGGAATGCCTGGTACCATGGGGCCTCTACGATGCAAAAAAGAAAACTTCTTATTGCATTTGGTATTGTCACATTTGTTTGTGCTCCCGACACCAAAGGGAAAAGATGCTTGGGAAGTGGGGGAAGACGGTTTCTTACGATTCTTGAATTTCGCCAATAAACTAGCTTGTTCAACGATTTTAAACATGATCAAGAAAAAGCACGTCGTAGACGGTTTGGTCTTATCATTAAGTGGGATGTTAGAGAGAATGACAGAATGATTTCCGATTTAACATTACTTACTACCTTGTTTGTTCTTTAGATATGTGATTTCAATATTTCCCTGATTTGCTTAAAATCAAGACCAAGTTTTGTAGTTCTATATCACCCTATTTAAATAAAGTTTGATGGATTGATTTGTATTTTCCGTGAGTTCTTACTTTTCGTTGTATTCCTGAACAAATGAGGTGACCATAACTTTGAACTTCTCCACACCATCCAAGAGATCAGCCTTGAATGTCGGTTGGATCTGAAGCAGGTGACTTGCTACTGTACCAGCCTGCAGAATCACAAACAAACATATTAATTCTATACCTCAACAACACGTGGCAGGGACGGTGGACTCCTGGTCCGAGTTCAAGACCTGGCCGGGGACAGTGCGTTGTGTTCTTGGGCAAGACACTTTACTCTCACAGTGCCTCTCTCCACCCAAGTGTAAAAATGGCCCTGTTGGCCCTTGTGACCGAGTCGTACAAAGGGTCTATTGTCTTTCAGATAGCAAGCCTTAAAGTTATCGCTGCCGCTATCCGTTAGATATATTAAAGGACTTCCTCCCGCACATAGGTCTCGGTTTAGGCGTAGAACTCCAAAACTAAACGACAGTTATGCAAACTCAAGACGCAGTCGAGGGTTTACGTAACTTTCAAGAATTCTGCCAACCCCCACTTACTTACTTACTACTTACTTACTTAGATGAGGCAATGTAAACATGGAAAAAGTTGCTTTTATAAAATATTTCTCAAAAATGCGCTTGAATCTAAAACGTCACCACCGTGTTTACACACCCTCATCTGAACACAGCTATCGACCAATGAGAGCGCGCATAGCATCTCAGTTGTTTTATTATGGAACATCGAGTCACAACATTGCAAAGTTCCACGTATCAGAAAATCCTGTTTGATTTTAAACTACCTCGAAAAATAACGAAACATACCTGGGCATGTAATTTACGCCACGCGTAAGTCAGACCATCAACTCTTTCAGCGTCACTGCTTGAATAAACCAGGCCATAGCGATTCATCATAGCAAATGATTCCTCAATCGGGCCAATTGTCATGTCAATCCTATAGCAAAAATAAAATGTGTAGGACGACTTGACGAGACATATTTATAGACATAAAACCTCACATTGCGAGCCTTTGAATCACCTTGGTTATGACTACTCTGAGAAAACACACGTCCCTTTACTCTGGGATGCTTAACATTTAAGCATTTTGTGACAAAGAAGTTCTGTTAAAAAAGTTTTGCTTGACTGTGAAAACCAGTTGCCCTTCAGCTAAAAACGTTCATCAAACCCCTACAAATGGCTGCAAACTGTTTTAGTTCACAAATTGTAGAGTACATACAGAGATTGTTATAATTATTTTAAATATAATTTTCTATTTCATTTGCTGGGTCAAGTAGCTGCTACTATCTGGTCATTGACCCGAGACCCGTCTCTTATTTAGACCGACCATGGTCCGTGGTCGTTCCCTATTGGGAAAAACTGTGCCCTCGGTTTTGAGTACGGTTACGCACACAGTTTATCTCAATACGGCCCTTCAGTCCGGCAAATAACATACTTATATTCCTCCACCATTAGCATGGAATTTTTCAGCTCCTATGTTAGATGTCCCCGAAAGGGCGGTAAAAACATGGTGTTTTGAATCGGTGCAGCTGATGGCACTTTCAGTCTGTTTCTGACCCTTTTCTTCCCGATAATGCACCAACACAAACCTTATTTCTGACTCTCGTATCTCACTGAGGGCAGCCATACTGCTTCTCACATCATCAAGATCCTTAATACCACGCGCAAGTCGCTTGTTGAGGTTGTCAATGAACAAGAAGATTTCTTCCATGTCTGCACTTGCCTGCAAAACAAACCAGAAGCAAGTGCTTGTTTTAGCAGTAGTCAAAAACCCACACATCAATGTCCCACACATCATTTTCACTTTTTTTTAACACTAAATATCTCAGATCTGAAAGAGTTTCAGAGAGACACATGGCAGCAATATCACTAGCTAATAGACGCATTGTGACAACGCGTGCAATTTATTGCCACGCTTCCGGCCTTTTGGGTCTCTTTGTCTTCGAAACTCTTGACTTCTTATTATCCAAGCATAGGTTAACAACCTATACAGGGAGACTGCTTCTTGATATCGTTTCATCGTCACAGCTTTCCAACGTACATTTGTATTTTGATCAAAGAACTCTTGAGGTTGATCATGAACACGCACATGTAAAGAACTCCTCAACGACTTATTTCTCCATTCAGAGTAAAAGAGATTTCAGCTATGTTTAGGAGGAGTAGGTAACGTGGCTGAGTGGTTAAGAGGCTGCACTTGAGATCCGGAGGTAACGGGTTCAGATCCCCTTCTCTAACTGGAGTTGTTTCACAGTAGACCTTAGTTCAACTTAGTTTCGTGTGTTAATCGCTAACTGGTCTGCCTTCGGCCAGTTGGGTTAAATTTTACCCTTGTTATGTCTAATTTGATTTGTTTCTGATATTTAATTGCTCGGCCCCACTGGCCTATGACTATTAAATGAAAGTTATTTATGGGATCTGCTACTTCCTCATATGGTTATTTATTTATTTATATATTTATTTATATATTTATTTATGTTCAAATTTATTAGAAATCGAAACAAAAATGCAAGTAATGGAAAGATCAATAGCAAATTCCCATACATAACCAAATGTATGATAACAAGTAATGGCAAAACACTGCTATGCTACGAGTGATAAACAAACTAGCATTTTTTCAACATAACATTTGTCATCTCAGTAATGAACATATCAAACACAAATATTTAGTTTTAGTTAGTTACCTTCTCTGCCAGTGCCTTGCCAAATGCCTGCTTCCAGGCCTTAGTTTCAGTGACCAAAGCTTCTTTGATTCTATCAGTGAGATACTCAACAGGTCCAATGTGATAACTTCCAGGTAACTCCTCAATCTGAGTTTCCAGCCGCTGATAATACTTGATCTGTGCATCAAAGTCTGACAGCAATGGCTTGGACTCCATGAATTCCTTGACTTTTGTGTTGGGATCCTGGAAATTACAAAAAGCAAGATTAATTACGAGGAATGGGCTACAGTTTGGTCTGCTTTGCTCAAGAACTTGCTTTAAACGAGTTTCACTTTATTACGATGAAAACCGGAAACCGAATCTGACGATGAACATGAAACAAGCTGTTTTACAATCGCATGTATTCATTCCAGAAAGTTTTCCAAAGACGTTATTGACCAACAACCTTTGAGGTGGCTAATTTAGTAATGTTGAGCTATAACAAGAGCTAACAGCAGCAACTGATACGACTGTTCTAAACTATCAGATTTCCCATTTGCACAAAACAAGATTGTTTGTGACTTGATTTGTTTCTTGTGTGCATTTCCATTTAGCACCATTGGCACGTTTCTACTTCAAGGTCTGATTGGTCAAATCCATTTTGCTGTTGTTGTTGTTGCTTTTGTGGTTACTGTTACTCTTGTGATTTGCCACACATCATTACTTTTCATTTTGTTTTGTGTCTGTGTAAAGAATGCCGTTGTTATGTAAGTCACATCGAAACTTAATGTTACCTGATTCCATAGTTCCTTGAACTGGTCCATTTCTTCTAAGATTTTTGTGGCGTCCATTTTCAGTGAACTTACAACTGAACTCAAAGTAATGACCACCTGCATGGACAAACGTAAGAAAAGTCTCAAGTCATCAACACAATACATAAATAATCGGTAATTTATCTACAACCCTAACACTTAACATGCATTAAATTGACCATCTGTTGGGTGTACGTAGTGTAGTTAGGCCTCAATGCAGTATTCTTTAGAATAACGAGGTAGTCGCGGAAAATGAGACGTTTTCAGCAATGCATCTTATTTAAAAACGAATACATTTGTACCAGCTATCGATGTAAACCTGTGTAAACTTTGAAGTTCACAGATGTTGTCAACCGCCTATCATTACTTAGCTGAAAGACATTGCACTTTTTATCCAAGGTTTTAGACTTGATGGTTGCAAACACTTTCTTACCTTTGTGACATCTTTGTGCTCAGACACAATCTTGTAAAGAGATTTGGGGACCAAAGGAGGAAGAACTTTTCCTTCTTCTGCGACAATGATTGGAGGCTGATGAATCACTCCATGTTGTTCCCATTCATAGACATTCTTGAAAAAATGTTAAAAAGTGTGAGATTACATGTCATATCGTGTACAAGAGGAAACGGGGTGTAACACTTATTAACCTACATTAAGTCTTTCAAATCTATTTGTAATGATTAGTGAAAAAATCTTAGTCACATCAACGAAATTATGGTGAATGTCACAGTCACTGTTCGTTATTTGCCACCAAGAAAGTTTACATTCAACAATTTCTCTGCCCTACCTGTGTCGTTTTAAGCATGATCTGGACAGTTTTGTTCAATGCCTGCTGAATGTCATCCAAACTTGGTTTCATTACTATTGATGGGATCTCTAAAACAATATCCGCCTGGAATGAATGAAACAAGAAAGGTGAGAAAGTGAAATGGAGGAAAAAGGCACGAGAAAGGGGAGAGGCGAAAATAAAGAGAGACAAAGGTGGTTGTAAAAAGGAAAGAAGAGGAAGCGGAAAACGATGAAACCGACTAAGCCAAGAGAACCATTCACCTTGAAAAGAGCTGGCGATTTCGCATCTGCATCACTGCTGTCCTTGCTGTGTTTGCTAGCTGCTTGCATGCGCCGTTTAATGGCATCCAGTGACTGCCTTTTGGATTTCACCAAAGCTTCAATGCATCTCTGATTAAAAAAGATGAACAAGCTCCAATAGCAACATGGCATGCATTCCCAGCATCTGTTCCCTTTGTTGTTCTTTGCTTGCTTTGATTCGGGGTACAGGCATGGGTAGTTTTCCTTATCAAGTCCTGTTAATTCTGATGGCTTTAAGTTGTCTTTTAGAGTTTGAAGAAGGATGTTCACTGACGACTCCACTAAATGGTTGTACCTGAATACCGCGGATAAAAATTGCTCTTAAAAACTTTGTACATCAGAACATTGCACCGCAATGCAAATTTAAATTAGCGATAAATTGGTTGCTTTTATCCAATTACAAAAAATTAATTCTTCTCATTCATATAATAACCTATGAAACACATACTAACTTGGACAACGATTCTGCAGCCTCTTGGCAAGTTCTTTCAGTCACATCAACAAATTCCTCTACAGTGACAGCTTCATCATCAGGAAGATCGCAGAGTCGCGTTAACTCAATGTCTTGCAATGCTGCCTCTATACGGCACTCAAGCATGTCTTTTACCTAAGAAAGTACAGAGTTCACTCAAAAACTGCAACGTTCACCTATTGTATATTTACAGCGTAACTAAAATTTACTTGCATCAACTAAATTCAGCAAATCACGCAAACTTTCTTCTTGTGATTTCATACAAAATATCTGTCACTAAACCTGGATTTGTGAAACATAGCATTTGTATTTGTTTAACAAATAGGACAACAGGTCAACTATTTCCACTTTTGATGCCACAAACCCAGTCGACGTCCAAACATTATCACAGGATGTGATAGTAACAAGAAACGTAAACTTGGACACGATAGAAATTTATCATATTGCGTGTGATTTTGGATTATTTCCCTCGCGAGATTTGCGGCAGCAATGCCGTTATTTGTTTTGTAATTGTGTTAAAAAAGAGGGATAAAACCCTCCAAAAAGGAAGTAAAAAAAAATGTGTGTTGCAACAAGAGAAACCTACCCCTTTTGTAAGAATCTCCAGTCCTTTTACTGATTTTTGAATGCTGTTGATGTCTGCCAAGAGGATTGCGACCATCGTTATGTTTATGCAAAATTAATGTCAGCGAATTTATGAGGAAATTGATAATAACAGACAACAGAAAGGAACAAGACAGAGTTTCAAGCAGAGTTCTCGAGATTAACCATACCCTTAAGGACGGAATAAAGTCTGCTAAACTAAAATCTTTCTTAAGGTACAATATATGATACAGTGAATTTGTCAGAGCACTTTGCTAACTTCCAAACATCTTCAGCAAGCAAACAATTTCGTCTTTATTTTCACACAGGATTAGATCCGTGTGTAGCCGTCAGCTTCATACTTGTTTAACAATTGACTCTTGGCTTAGCATTACATAGCCTTATCTAAACACTTAAAGGTTCGGAGAATTCTCGAAAGTTATGCAAACCTTTGACTGCGTCTCGAGTTTGCATAACTGTCTCGAATTCTCTGAATCCCCCTCGCGTTTACACGAGGCTATGTAAATACAGAAAAAGTGCTCTATTGTTTAAATGGTGCAAGCTTACGTACGCATGTAGTGAGTTAAATGGCGTGGCTTCATGCAAACTTTTTACAAACAGCTAGGTAGATGATGTACTCACACGAGTAGACATTCAGGGACGTCCAGTTTAGCATGGTCAAACCAGGCTTGATAGTTTCATCTACACGGCTGGTAAATGGTTTCATAAGGGGTAGCACATTTTCTGGAATATCTGCAACAACTCCATCATACTCCTTCAAAACCTCTTGAAGTCTACAAACAAAAATAAATATTTAACATCTATATGAAAAACAGATAAAGTATTACGAACGGATTCTCACTGAAATATTGAGCAACTAATAACAGTTTTCACTGAGTTGAAATATTTAGAGAGGATGGGACATTTTATTAGACCTAGCCAGTTTCCATGTGGGTCCACTATAAAGGCAGGTAAAATTCGAATTTGCAACATTGGTTTTTCAGAAGGGCGGAAAGCCAGATTACCCAAGGAGAAACCTCCAGAACAGAGACAAGAACTAACCAAAAAGGTCAACCTACATGTACATAGGACACCACGTCGGGATCAAACGCGCGCCTAGACTGCGCGCAGTCTCTCTTTTCCTCGAAAACCGTTGGGAAAAACGCAAAACATAATTATAAGCGTGCTTAATTGTTTTGCGTAACCGTTTTGCGTTCTTCCCACGGATTTTCGAGGAAAAGAGAGACTGCTCGCAGCCTAACGCGCACCAAATTGGTGGGAGATGAGCGCTCGCGTTACTACGCCATCCTTAATTACTCCCAAAGTTTGGAAACATTGTCCCTCTTAAAAAAACGTCGATCCAAACGATGGACACTGATAAAGCGTGCTGCAGCTGTCTTTCACTATAAAACATTTTGTATGCTTTCTACACAATTCTGCATGCATGCATTTCTTTGTTGATTATCAGTTCACTGCGACAAGTCCCTAATAAAGCTTAATAAAAGTACGCCGTCTTTTATTTGAATACTCTCAGGACTAATAATAATACCAATAATTGCGAATCTTTAATTGCTCCGATAAATGTCGTAGAGGTTAGTTTCTTTGCTTTTCATTAAAAGGGCATAAATGGTTGTCCTGAGATACACCTTACTCCATCATACACTGCCTGCTTATTTAAGTCCAGCTACAGAAATAAGCTCTCCTTAGGCATAAGTATGACCAACAAAACCCACCCTACCTCCTCTCTAAAATTATAACTAGCTTATCTATAGAGGTTAAAAGGGGGAAAATGTGATTCTTTATGGTATCACATAAAATTCATTAAATTCAATTAATACATAATTATGTACCGGTTGTTGCATGTTTTGAATTGCTCCTCTTTCAGGCACATAACTTGAGCTGCCTCAGGGATCTGTAAACACATTAAAATCACATGATACTCAGCATCAACAAGCAAGACGCATGATAAAACAGAATGCATATCATTTTACGCCTTGAAATTCATATAAAAGAGGAATGTCACTATAGAGAAAACTGGAAAAAGCATTGACAAATCTGCATTCATATGTGACTCTAGTTGTAATTGGTTAACAAAATGCTACTCCCTTGATAAAACCTTAAACTCAGCAATACTGATAAATGCTAACCTCGAGGTTCAGCCGTCGCATACATTTTGCTTCCTGGATTAACTCGAGGATTTGTGGATCAAAGTTCACAAAGAGTTTCTGTATAGAACAAAAACAGTGGAGTCAGTAACAGTTTGGAATTAATTTTAAAAGAGTGCTATAAACACTTTATGGAAGAACATACCTTGGTTTCTGGGTGTCTGACAAGCAGTGATGCATTTAACCCACTTTTAGCAAGTTCCACTGCTTTGAACCAGCCACGATGATAAAGTAACTACACAGATGAGGGAGAAACAGAAACACATTGAATGTTGGTAATCATACCCTGAAACCTGTATTGAGAATGAATAACGGGTACTTTTTACTTACAAATTAATACACTGATGTATGCAGCCAAAAAGGCATAAGAGGCAAAAACAAAGATAGTGATGACGTGAGGTGCCCATATTTGTTGTAATAGAAACATGTGCAAGAGTCACTGTGTTCAGAGAAAGTACACTAAAAATAGCTTTGAATAAGAAATAAATACCTCAAATTCTACAAGCACAGCTGCATTCTTGTTGTAATTACGAATGATTCTCTTTGCATCTTCCCCCTAAAGATGGTTAAGGACCATATGGCAACATGAATCAGAATAAAGAGAACTAGGAAACACGCTTATGCACCAAGAGCAACAGTCTTTAGAAATTAAATTTCCATTTTGCAATTAAATTAAATCAAATAACTTTGCAAAAGCACACACAAAATATTTATTTGTTCCACTTACCTTTAAGATTTCAGGGTATGTCTTGAATACTCTCATTGGCTCATGAATTCTTCTAAAAAGCTGGCGAGCCCAGGTTATTTTACCAGCCACCTAAAAATATCAGACAAGTCACATGCATTTGTTTATTTTGTGTTCCCTTGGCACTCTTTGACAGAAACTGACTAAGGTAAAGTCAGCACATAACATTACATAATTCTAGGGAAACTTCGAATTCGCGACATAAACTTAAGATAGAATAAAAGGCTTACTGGTGGTAAGTTTCGGAGAATTGGTGGATCATTTTTCTGTTTCTGGTACAATTTCTTGCATGTTTCAAGATCCCTTAAAAAATAAAAACAAGGTAACTTATTAAGACCACATCATAAGCTACCTCACAGCACTGCTGATATTATATTAATAAACAGACTATGTCTTTCCCTTGTTCTTTCTATTATAAGAGTTTTTGCATATAATTATGTAAATCTATGTCTCTTAAAATGTAAAGGATAAATTAAAAAAATAATAATAATTTTAGTATAATTTTAACTTAATGGCTTCATACCTGCCATACTGCAGAAGAATCCTCTGGTACTTGTCATGGAGATACAATTGAACTCCTGCTATGTTTTGGAATTTTTGCAGGAGCTCTAGAGCCCTCAAGGTCTGAAGAGAAAATTGGATGCTCTTGAGACAGTAGTTTTATGTCACTGCAAGATGCCAAGACAAAACTAAATCTTGGCAGAACTCTATTTGTAGACATTCTGTTGATCATCTCTTGACAACCACAAAGCTCTCTAGGTAACAAGTCAAGAAACAAGGTAATCTGGTGAAATAAAACACTTACAGACAGTGGTTTCTCAAACCAAGAGTCAACAAACATTTGCAACTGTTGTTTCAATCCATCGATGCTTTGTTTAAATTCCTCATAGTCAAGATCAAACTGCAACAAACAAAAAACAAAAAAGCATTGCAGAGACATATATCATGTACCATTCCACTGCCACGTAGTCACTTTTTATCCATTCTTTCTCAGACTTCTTACTACCTTTTCACTCTGTTTTCAAATATCACAGCCCCCAAAATTGCTTACTTTGATTTTCCATCCACCCTCAAAATACATGTGTGGTTTTGTATCAGAAAGGTAATATGTTGTCATATCAAGAGCAGCATGGTCTGTTGCAATACTCCATACTGGAGACGCCTGGTAGTTTGCCAATGATGGTGCTAAATTCAGGTTTTGATTACACAATTTGAATACAGTGTAAAACGTTCACACTGATGTTACGTACACCACTCACATCTTGTCAGGTTTCTCCAGCAATTTGCCAAAACTTATTTTACACCAAGGCAGAGAGAAGTAGTTAGAATCTTACTCTTACAACATGCCATGTAAGTGCAACTCAAGAGCCATTAGATCACTGCAATAAAGTAATCTGAATACTTAACCAGTGGCAACTGATCCATCTCTTCATACCTCTCCTTTTCTGTGATCCAACAAGTCGTAACCTTTCTTTTTCACACTTGTCACTATCGAATTGTAGCGCACAATCATGGTCTCCATGCCCTGAAAAGAGTCAACATGGTTGAACAAAGATTAAACATAACTGATTCCCCAAACAGGGAGAAAGCTGGATATCTGAAACCTGACTTTCATGATGGTTACATCTATGACAACAGATGAGGTAAGGAAGAGGACTGAAGAAGTTTAAATGAGAAAAGAATAGCAAGAACAAATACTAACTATAACACACAAATCAATGCTTTATCTGGGCATGCATTTGAGGAAATTATTTGAGGGCATATTGGTGACATTCAAGATTCCTTCACTGACTACCTTGAAGACTGTAAGCTAGAAACAGTAGAAAATATCACTTTCTTTTACCCACAGGGTTAATTACTAATGACTTGTACAAGCAGCCTTGACTGATAATGTACTTCAATCAATGTACAGTATATTAAAACACACCAATGAACTATACCTCAATTTTGATGTTATTTACACCAGCAAAAGTTTCCATGGTGTTTAGCATGTCATTAATCTTTTCCAGTCTCTTGCAGAATGCATCAAATTTACCAAAGATGTAATTCTCACTGTGAAAAAAATATTAAGAATGTGCTGCTGGCTTCAAACTCTAATTGCTTATTAACTTTCAATAATAAGAGTGTTAACTTTAACTTCTAACAGTTCATGGTTACCAGTGAAGTATCGTGAAATGAGAAAAACACAAGTATGCTACAGAAATTACCAAGATACCCGATCGTTGGTTTGACAATTTGGGTGCCCGTGCAACAACGCGGCACTAACAAAAGTAGTATAGAAAGTGAAACTGGGGTGTAAACTACAATGAACATATCATTACCTGAATTCAAATTGTCTTTCATTTGGATTTTCTCGCAGCTTTTGCTTGGTTCGATGAAAACACCTCTGGTACTCTTCATTGAGCCTAATGCACTCATTCAATCTTCCAGACAACACCTCCCTGAAAACAGGAATAAGATGCATTGATGCATATGGAAGCTGACAAAACACTTCACTGGATACTGTGTATTCAAACAGAGAATAGAATGCTACCCTTAACTGGTAGGAAGTAAACTGCTGCTGGGCAGAGCAGGTAATATTATTATAAACAATCAATGTGTCTAGTGCATACCTTGAATGTTCCCAGATCTTCATAACATCTCGATTGATGTAAGCCTTACAAGTAGTTATCATCTGGTTTGTGACTTTGACAAAAAGAGATGTCATTCTCTCAGAAGTGTTGTAGTACTGGGAGATGCTGTGGATCATTCGGATGGCATTCATTAAACTGGGAATGTGTTCCACCATTTCTGTCTGTTGGAAGTAAATACAATTGTCAATAAATTTTCCAACTAATGCAGAATGAACTTGGCTGGGCAGAAAAAGAAGCAAGAGGCAAATGCATACACTGGAATGTTATTAACTGCAAACAAAACTTTGACATGTTCAAGTCATGGACAGAAGAGGCAAAAACTAATGCATGAGAAAAAGTCATAACATGTCACAGCAATTCAAATTCTCAAATTAAAGTGAATAATGCTGCATACAAGTACTATAAATGAAGCATTTTCTGCATACATACCGGAGAGCACTTGATTAAAGGTCCAAAAAACTTGTCCAGTGTGTACAGATATTTCACATTGTCCTTGGCTTCATTAGCAGCATCTGTTATCCGACTATCCTAAATTTTGGAATCAGTGCAAAATGCTTAGGTATCACATTTAATTTAGGTCCTCTCATCACTTTTAAAATGACAGTTGACATTAATTAAAATTCCAATTAACAACTTAAGTGCTAGCTCCTGTGAGTCCAAGGATTAATTTCTGAGTGTTTAGTCAGAAGAATGGACCTCAGGACTGGGATTTTAGGGTTGACATATATATTTGCAGTTTCCCTTGACAGCCATTCGATACGTTGGCTTCAGCTGGTAAAACAATAATTGAGCCATACAGATTTTTTCTACTTGAGGTGAGTCTGAAAATTTTCCACGGCCTTTTTGGTGAAGGTTTGAGCCTAAGTGACTGCCGTGCGATAGATGGACACTTTTAGAAATTAGAGAAAGCAAATGTTACGTGTACTCTTTGTTGATTCTTCGACCAAAGCAGTTGGAGTAAACTCCAGAAGCAGTATCTTATTGAAAGGGGATTTGACAAAATGAGTATCACTGTATGATAGTGAGAATGAGAATGAGACTGACACTGGTAATGATAATGATAATGATAATGATAATGATAATGATAATGATAACGATAATGACAATGATAACCATAATGATAATAAACACCATACCAACTCCTTCCAGTGTTTTAGACTTCTTGATTTAGCTGCATGCAGAACTCCTACAGTGGCTTTGCAGTGAGGACTCTTCACCTGGTCCAGAAGGCTGTACGAGACAATGAAAAATCTGAGTTTTATTTAGCAAATCAAATTTATAAGTTAAAACTAACAAAACCACAATACAGGGACTTAAAGCAGTCTGGAACACCCAACAGGAAGCAAAATCTTTGGCTCAAAAGAGTGAGGTAGAAAACAACCATCAGCACTGATGCCCTTCATGTACAGTATGCTTCAAAGGATGACTCGTTCATTCACATTCAACTAACCAGTGCAGTCATCATCATCATACTTGTAGTTGTTGATGCTGAACCATGTAGCATTCCACACAACCCAAAACACAGCAAATTTTGGATTTTTGAAAGCTTATTTTTTAGTGACAATTAACAAATCAAATGTGGTTTAGCATGGTCTGTACTCTTATTGACAATGAGTACGCCTCATCAAAGTGGTAAAAATGTTGTGGACTCACAAGGCGCACAATATCAAAGATAATGAAAGAAATCTTTGTCAAGATTTGTTGCCAATTGAAAACACCGACTTGGACTTGAAAATGCATGCGCTGCACTATGCAAATGAGCTATTTGTACGCGTCAGACTTTCCTGTCAAAAACTTTTGCAAACTTGCTCAACACGCAGAAACAATAAGAAAAAATTTTTCGGGAAAAGAGTAATGATGCGTACTTGTTGTTGATAAGAGTATAGACCACGATAAACCACATTTCAATTTGTTTTTTACCACAATATCAATGTCAAAGAAAATGGTTTTTTCAGAGCGTGAGCTAAAAAAGGCATTGTGCGACACACTGACGTGAGCAGCATGGTATGGACTCTTATCGACAATGGCAAATTAGCCAATCAGATTGTGAGATTAGCAGCAATTGTGGTAAAATATATGCTTCACTAAGCTTTCCACTGATCTGACTTCCATTTCCTGGTGGCAATACTGACATCTTAGCAGGCTTGCACAAAAGGCAATAATTATTAATATGTCACAACAGAGCTAGCTTTTCTAAAAACAAAAAAGACAAACAATAAACAATTTTCAGGGGCACGTACACATTAAACTTGGCCATCCTTTCTTTCCAGTGTTCAAGTTCTGCTGTTGGACCAATGTCATCAGCCTCTTTTCTCATCTAAGAAAAAAAGAATATTATGTACTTGTTGATTGCCTTGCGGGAAAGAGTAGTTAATCCCACGCTGGCAAGATAGCCCTCCGACAGCACCCTCAGTAAAGGATTTGGTTCATCTTGCACACTTGTAGAGTTACTTCCTAGCGTAAACTGTGTTTGTCAGGTTCCCCTTCCTATTCACTGATACCCAATATATTCTCCTTGATCAAGAAATACTAGTGTGAAGGAAAAGCATCTTGCCCAGCAGCAATATACACAGTGGGCCCTGGCTAGGCTTGGTCAGGCTAAACCTAGCTTGTTAATTCAGTCTAAGACTGCCAGAGAGTTTCAATAAACTACTAAATTATAATTATAATCCAGAGTCTTGTGCAGCAAGCACCATGTAAAAATGGGAAGTTAAATTACATGTACAAGCAAATAAAAGTCTGCAACCTACCTGTTCACTCTCAGCAAGAACTTGCTCAATTACTTTGGACCACAGGGCTACAAGACCCTCAAGTTTGTCCAACACATCAGGATTATTTGCTGAAAGAGAAACAGTATGTAAATATTTGTTCCAGGGAAAACCCCCATCCTAATCTGCTTCTTGGGCTGAAATCATCCTCTATTGATAGCTGTTCGCAGTGATGCCAAATGAATCCTTGATACGTTTTAGATAATTGCCAAGTAATTTATCTTTAATAAAAAAAAGAGCATTATAAGTAAGCCAACTGTAATTTAATTAGCGTTATTGCATGGTAATAGATGTTTTGTGACTAGTGCATGTATAAATAGTGTAAGTATAAGTAGGGTAAGGAGCAAGTACTGTGTACGTGTAGATGTAAGTAGTGTAAGAGTTCGTCCTGTAAATAAAATTGCATTATAAAAAAAAAAAGTGTGCAATATCTAGTCATGATCCAACTGACTGAGCAGGCTTGGCCAATTAAGGATTTATCATGTCATATACGGAATACCATTATGTCCTTGCCAGAAACAGCAGGTGATCAACAGAGCAATGTACTGCCTGCTTGAGTAGCCAGTCATAACATAGCATTTGGCTCATTTTGTCCACATGATAAAAGGGGTTCTTACAGACCAGCTGAACATCATTCTGCTTGAACAACTGAACGATCCACCTACACTGTTCCACCAATCCCCCACTGACTACTTGACTGACCTGTTGGGCCGCAGTTGATAGTTCAAGTGATACGGCGTGCTGTTTGGCCAACCTACACTGCTCTACTGATCCCCCGCTGCCCCACCCATTAACTATTTCACTGACCATGGGCAGCAGTTGATAGTACAAGTGATACACATGAAACATTACTTAATCATAGTTAACTATTCAAAACATAGTTCTTAAGCTCTTCTCACCAGCAAGTACATAATCTGTAGGGGTTCTGAGTCCATCAAGTAATGGTCCCAAGTCATGATCACCGAGCTGAACTCTGCATTCCAGCAAAAAGAACAAGAAAGTAACTTCAGTCCTAATCTAATCGCTACACCAAATGATGGATCCCAAGGGAGTCTGCTATAACAAGACCTGACTGTATAATCATTATGTTACCTACATACATGTACACTAGAGGCCAAAATTGGACAAAACTGACATGGAATTGCTAACAGCATAATCTGATCTCTAATGTCTCCAGTATCACAATGTATTTTTCCACCCATTCACCCTTACCTCCCTTTCAGGCTACTTCTGGCTCCACCCAAAATTCCAACAAACTTATCAAGCGACTCCAGGAATTCTTGTACTTGCCCACTGTTACTTGGAAGCTCACCCCAATTCTGTAAAAAGAGTTACATGAACTGTGTCTTTCAAAAAAGATCTCTGACCTTAAAATCTCAACCAATAGTTTTACATTGCCTTCTATCTGTTACATTTACTGTTTCAGTGATTGTCTTATTGGTCATCTCAGAAAAGCACAGCCCATAAACTTTTCAGAAAGAACTTGTCTACCAATATTTTCCAATCCTAGCCCCATTAACTTGTGCAACACGTACTTCACTAACATCTAATAGATGTGACTATTTATCTGCAGGTTGTTGCAGGCAAAAAGTTACAACACACCTCTTGTTTCTGAAGTGCAGGGATCATAACACTTCCAAGAAGTTTTTGAAATCCTTCTAGAACATCACCCTTGGACACATCCATTGCCATAAAGTTTACTTCCTGCAAGTAGCAAGCACTTTTCAATCAATCAAAAGAGAAACATGGGCATTTAATTAATAATAATTTAATTATAATATTATTACTAATAAACATTTATACCTGAGCAATGTTTTGTATTGTAATTGCCTTGGTTGATGAACGGAGAAATATTAGGCAAGTACCACAGAGTTCCTAGAAGAAACAAAATTAGCAAGTATCAATAAAATAGCACTTAATTTTTACATAATAATTCAATAATTTATAAATTACAGGGCTGTCACTAAGGGCCATAACCCCGTAACACCTGCTACGGCTGAGCAAAACTGCTTGATTGTCCCTTGATGCTATGCATGAAATTGCCTGTTGTAGATAGAATTCAACCACAAAGTAACAAGACTAGTTTGCTACGGGTGTGGAAAACGAGGCTGCAGGTGACTCAAAACTTAATGACAACCCTGAATTCAGCTTTTGACAAGTGCATTCAACAGTATGCATACAGCTTCTACATGTACAGTATGGGGTAGGCATGGCATTTCTTACAATGACATGTTCAAACCTGGTGATAAATAATGGCTGCTATCAAATGAGAATGCAATACTTCTCCACAATAGCCCCCTTGGAGACAAAGGAAAGTGGCTGTTGTAGAGAGGCAGCTGTTATGGGGAGGTAGGGGTGTAATATGACACTTCTTTTCAGGGGTGTAACATTTAAAAAAAAGAAAAATTGCTTATTTTATTTATCATGTAAATCAAAAATGTATCAGTAACATTAACAGAAAGAGATAACACAAATGGGGTTTTGTATACACTGTTCAGCAGTCATTGATTAGCTGGCCACCGCCAAGAGGTTATTTTGGCAGTTTGGATGAGTTTTAGTGGGTGTGCCATTGTGGAGAGGTGGCCTTTGTAGAGAAGCGTGAATGTATGGACTACGGTCAGCTGGCAACAAAAAAGTGGCTGTCATAGAGGGGTGGCAGTTGTAGAGAGGTAGCCATCGAGATGTCAGGGGTCCAAGATAGCTGATAGTAGACTGAGAGAGCAAGTCCAAGGGAAAATGATTTCATGAATGAGTTCAAGATAGCAGGGATTTCAAGATAACCTAGTTAGAGATGGTGGGGTTCTACTGTAACAGTCCTTTGTATACATCGCATGCCTACAATACTTAAACGTCTAAAAAGAAACTGTGGCTTTACTAATCTAGTATGAACACATTAACTTCAACAAGTGGTTGCTTGCTTGCCAATACTGTACCTCTGTGTTCCCTCCTGTGATAAAGAGTTTTCTGGGTGAATTGGCAGCCTGTGAGCTTAGGTCGACTCTGTTTATCTGGAAATTAACCAGGCCCAATAAATACGAATGGAAAACACATGTTAAATAATCAGTTCTACTGACCACCTTTGCAAATTGTAATGGAAGAATATTGCCTTTGAAAGTGTTTCTGGAAATTATGGACTAAGCGATAACAGAGGCAACTTACATTGCATTCCTGATAGAAAAACATTATTTTCCTTGATCCATCTGTAGCAAAAAAATCTTCAATTTGGTCAAACTGTGGAAGATGAAAAAAGATCTTGATATTATTCCTTCATAATTGAAGTGTATGGAATGACTTGAATGATAAGTTGGTAGGAGGTGCTCATGCCAGACTAGACTAAACTGAAAGAGAAGAGAAGAGATCTAGACAAGAAAACTAAAGTATACAAAAGTAATACAAAACAGTTGAAGAATAAAGAGATGGCATGGAGGTCTGAAAAAGGAAGTGGACAGCTTATAATATTAGGCTCGCTATTTCCTTCCTTCCTGGATAAAAAAAAAAATTGAATCCCCAAGTGTGCTGGACAGGTTGACCAATCTCCCAAATAAGGAGGAAGCTAACTGGTGATAAAAGAAGTTAAAATTCTAAAGTTTCTAAGGCTATTAATATCTCCAGGGGGTAGAGAGCAGTGTATAATTGCAAGATAGAATCAGAACAGAGTGATGTATGTGTTTTCCCAGCAAACATACAGGTTCATGCATCCTGCTGAACTTCAGAATGAAAAATTCCCAGTGCAATTGTATTACAGAAAACCTACTTTATCATCTCCCAACGCGAAGTCTTCAATCACAGCCAAATCTGCTCCTACGTAATCAGCAATCTAGAAAAAAGCAATAATTATTATTAACAATGACCTAAATCTGGATGAGGACAGTCGAGCCAGCTTCGTATATTTTAAAATGCACTGAATGTAATTGCACATACACCTACAGTGTAGTCAACAACCATAACAATAAACGTATTATATGGTATTACATGTACCTTGGATAGTATGAAGTTATGTCTCGAATCCATCTGAAAACGAAACAACACAAAATTGTTACTACAATTGCAATTTATCAAATCTAATTAATAACGAAACCCTGACAATTTTAAAAGAATATATTAGTTACATGGAATGGAAGCTATTTATAGCAGTCTTTGCTGAATTGTAATAGCATGCAGTGAAATAAAGATTACAGGTAGGAACCTTTTTGTAATAAGTTCAGAGAAGAAGGACAAGAAGAAGTTGACACCAAACTGGCCAAATCTGCTAGCTTGTCCCCCAATGTCCCCAAACCCTGTCACTAATCCACCCTGTAGAACTAGCAATAGTAACACTAAGCTTCCCAGGGGTGACGCAGACNCTTTATCATCTCCCAACGCGAAGTCTTCAATCACAGCCAAATCTGCTCCTACGTAATCAGCAATCTAGAAAAAAGCAATAATTATTATTAACAATGACCTAAATCTGGATGAGGACAGTCAGGCCAGCTTCGTATATTTTAAAATGCACTTAATGTAATTGCACATACATCTACAGGGTAGTCAACAACCATAACAATAACATATTATATGGCATTACATGTACCTTGGATAGTATGAAGTTATGTCTGGAATCCATCTGAAAACAAAACAACACAGAATTGTTACTACAATTGAAATTTATCAAATCTAATTAATGACGAAACTCTAACAATTTTTAAAGAATATATTAGTTACATGGAATGGAAGCTATTTATAGCAGTCTTTGCTGAATTGTAATAGCATGCAGTGAAATAAAGATTACAGGTAGGAACCTTTTTGTAATAAGTTCAGAGAAGAAGGACAAGAAGAAGTTGACACCAAACTGGCCAAATCTGCTAGCTTGTCCCCCAATGTCCCCAAACCCTGTCACTAATCCACCCTGTAGAACTAGCAATAGTAACACTAAGCTTCCCAGGGGTGACGCAGACCAATGGGGGGGGGGGGGGGGGGAGGGTAGAAGAAGAGTTTTCCTTTGTGAGTTTCTTGACAGCAATAATTCGGAAAGGCCAGTATGATACATAAAATTACATTTTTGTGATATGATTGACTGATTACATAAAGAGGTCAAATCATCACAGGACATGTTGAGTAATCAAGTCTGTTTAACATTAAGTTTACTGAGGGTCAACCTGGCTCAAAAGGCTAAGACCTGGAAAAATACAATCGTATAAGATCCAGTGATATGTTGAAACTCCACTCTTAGCCTAGTAGTTCAATGAACATGTAATAACAAGGTTATATCCGGAAAGTTAGGTCATGATTTATACTATGCAGGCTAAGAAGATTACTGTTAGTGCTTTTGTGACCTTTCATTACAGATCATGTCTGTATGTACAATCCTGGTTGTACATCCAGTCTGTTGACTCTGTTCGTATCATCAAGTCTGTCAATATTCTTGTCCAAGAAATCTAGTTTTGGGTTGATTAAATTCATTGGGTGATTCCAGAAAATATCCATACCCATACCATGGGCAGCATCTCGGAATTCCAAGGGAGAGGGGGGTTTCTTGGACTGCATGGGGGGTTTCAGCTCTAAATTTCCAGAGGGAGAATATGGCGAAAGCTTCACTTGAAATTGCTTTTCAGTTAACTTTTCTAGTTTGTAAATCAAGCACGACCTGACCACGGAAGTAGGATAAAGATCAATCAAGCAGGTGTTGGCGTTCATGCAGATGTGAGAGCAGATGGGTTGTGCAACAATATCAGCATCGAAGAGGCCTTAAAGTTGATGAATTAGTAGATAGATTAATAAAATATAAAAAAGTCTGTGTTTCTGGTTGCGTGCAAAAAACGTGCACCAGTCTCTCATTTCCAAATGGAATGCCTGACACATTTGTACTAGTCTGCATTACTATAGGTCAGCAGTTACTCAATGAACAAACTTTTCAATATGACAGGTGACGGCACATCGTGAACTTTACTTTTGTCTTCCAGTGGTATCAATATGATCTACTCTCCTTAAAATATCAAGCTAATGAATGGAAAATTTCAGAGGTAAGCAAGTTACTTAAAGAAGGGAAAGCTACGGTGTACTTTATTAAACGTTAACAGACTTGAGTTGCTTGTTTGCTTGACCGAAAATTGTGAGCAGAATTTTCTTGGAGGGAGGGAAAAGCGCAAGTTTCCCGTTCATTAGAAGTTCTGGGCAGTCAAACAGGAATTCCAAAGGGTCTGAAAAAGATTGGAAATTCTGGAGGGGAGGAGATGTTAACGATTTTGGAATTCGGAGGGCATGGGGGTACAGTATTTTGGAATTTCCGAAGGCAAGGTGGGTTTAAATGTTCATGGCACACGTGGTATAGGATATAGATATTTTTCTGGAATCAAACATNGTTCGCAGTGATGCCAAATGAATCCTTGATACGTTTTAGATAATTGCCAAGTAATTTATCTTTAATAAAAAAAAGAGCATTATAAGTAAGCCAACTGTAATTTAATTAGCGTTATTGCATGGTAATAGATGTTTTGTGACTAGTGCATGTATAAATAGTGTAAGTATAAGTAGGGTAAGGAGCAAGTACTGTGTACGTGTAGATGTAAGTAGTGTAAGAGTTCGTCCTGTAAATAAAATTGCATTATAAAAAAAAAAAGTGTGCAATATCTAGTCATGATCCAACTGACTGAGCAGGCTTGGCCAATTAAGGATTTATCATGTCATATACGGAATACCATTATGTCCTTGCCAGAAACAGCAGGTGATCAACAGAGCAATGTACTGCCTGCTTGAGTAGCCAGTCATAACATAGCATTTGGCTCATTTTGTCCACATGATAAAAGGGGTTCTTACAGACCAGCTGAACATCATTCTGCTTGAACAACTGAACGATCCACCTACACTGTTCCACCAATCCCCCACTGACTACTTGACTGACCTGTTGGGCCGCAGTTGATAGTTCAAGTGATACGGCGTGCTGTTTGGCCAACCTACACTGCTCTACTGATCCCCCGCTGCCCCACCCATTAACTATTTCACTGACCATGGGCAGCAGTTGATAGTACAAGTGATACACATGAAACATTACTTAATCATAGTTAACTATTCAAAACATAGTTCTTAAGCTCTTCTCACCAGCAAGTACATAATCTGTAGGGGTTCTGAGTCCATCAAGTAATGGTCCCAAGTCATGATCACCGAGCTGAACTCTGCATTCCAGCAAAAAGAACAAGAAAGTAACTTCAGTCCTAATCTAATCGCTACACCAAATGATGGATCCCAAGGGAGTCTGCTTTAACAAGACCTGACTGTATAATCATTATGTTACCTACATACATGTACACTAGAGGCCAAAATTGGACAAAACTGACATGGAATTGCTAACAGCATAATCTGATCTCTAATGTCTCCAGTATCACAATGTATTTTTCCACCCATTCACCCTTACCTCCCTTTCAGGCTACTTCTGGCTCCACCCAAAATTCCAACAAACTTATCAAGCGACTCCAGGAATTCTTGTACTTGCCCACTGTTACTTGGAAGCTCACCCCAATTCTGTAAAAAGAGTTACATGAACTGTGTCTTTCAAAAAAGATCTCTGACCTTAAAATCTCAACCAATAGTTTTACATTGCCTTCTATCTGTTACATTTACTGTTTCAGTGATTGTCTTATTGGTCATCTCAGAAAAGCACAGCCCATAAACTTTTCAGAAAGAACTTGTCTACCAATATTTTCCAATCCTAGCCCCATTAACTTGTGCAACACGTACTTCACTAACATCTAATAGATGTGACTATTTATCTGCAGGTTGTTGCAGGCAAAAAGTTACAACACACCTCTTGTTTCTGAAGTGCAGGGATCATAACACTTCCAAGAAGTTTTTGAAATCCTTCTAGAACATCACCCTTGGACACATCCATTGCCATAAAGTTTACTTCCTGCAAGTAGCAAGCACTTTTCAATCAATCAAAAGAGAAACATGGGCATTTAATTAATAATAATTTAATTATAATATTATTACTAATAAACATTTATACCTGAGCAATGTTTTGTATTGTAATTGCCTTGGTTGATGAACGGAGAAATATTAGGCAAGTACCACAGAGTTCCTAGAAGAAACAAAATTAGCAAGTATCAATAAAATAGCACTTAATTTTTACATAATAATTCAATAATTTATAAATTACAGGGCTGTCACTAAGGGCCATAACCCCGTAACACCTGCTACGGCTGAGCAAAACTGCTTGATTGTCCCTTGATGCTATGCATGAAATTGCCTGTTGTAGATAGAATTCAACCACAAAGTAACAAGACTAGTTTGCTACGGGTGTGGAAAACGAGGCTGCAGGTGACTCAAAACTTAATGACAACCCTGAATTCAGCTTTTGACAAGTGCATTCAACAGTATGCATACAGCTTCTACATGTACAGTATGGGGTAGGCATGGCATTTCTTACAATGACATGTTCAAACCTGGTGATAAATAATGGCTGCTATCAAATGAGAATGCAATACTTCTCCACAATAGCCCCCTTGGAGACAAAGGAAAGTGGCTGTTGTAGAGAGGCAGCTGTTATGGGGAGGTAGGGGTGTAATATGACACTTCTTTTCAGGGGTGTAACATTTAAAAAAAAGAAAAATTGCTTATTTTATTTATCATGTAAATCAAAAATGTATCAGTAACATTAACAGAAAGAGATAACACAAATGGGGTTTTGTATACACTGTTCAGCAGTCATTGATTAGCTGGCCACCGCCAAGAGGTTATTTTGGCAGTTTGGATGAGTTTTAGTGGGTGTGCCATTGTGGAGAGGTGGCCTTTGTAGAGAAGCGTGAATGTATGGACTACGGTCAGCTGGCAACAAAAAAGTGGCTGTCATAGAGGGGTGGCAGTTGTAGAGAGGTAGCCATCGAGATGTCAGGGGTCCAAGATAGCTGATAGTAGACTGAGAGAGCAAGTCCAAGGGAAAATGATTTCATGAATGAGTTCAAGATAGCAGGGATTTCAAGATAACCTAGTTAGAGATGGTGGGGTTCTACTGTAACAGTCCTTTGTATACATCGCATGCCTACAATACTTAAACGTCTAAAAAGAAACTGTGGCTTTACTAATCTAGTATGAACACATTAACTTCAACAAGTGGTTGCTTGCTTGCCAATACTGTACCTCTGTGTTCCCTCCTGTGATAAAGAGTTTTCTGGGTGAATTGGCAGCCTGTGAGCTTAGGTCGACTCTGTTTATCTGGAAATTAACCAGGCCCAATAAATACGAATGGAAAACACATGTTAAATAATCAGTTCTACTGACCACCTTTGCAAATTGTAATGGAAGAATATTGCCTTTGAAAGTGTTTCTGGAAATTATGGACTAAGCGATAACAGAGGCAACTTACATTGCATTCCTGATAGAAAAACATTATTTTCCTTGATCCATCTGTAGCAAAAAAATCTTCAATTTGGTCAAACTGTGGAAGATGAAAAAAGATCTTGATATTATTCCTTCATAATTGAAGTGTATGGAATGACTTGAATGATAAGTTGGTAGGAGGTGCTCATGCCAGACTAGACTAAACTGAAAGAGAAGAGAAGAGATCTAGACAAGAAAACTAAAGTATACAAAAGTAATACAAAACAGTTGAAGAATAAAGAGATGGCATGGAGGTCTGAAAAAGGAAGTGGACAGCTTATAATATTAGGCTCGCTATTTCCTTCCTTCCTGGATAAAAAAAAAAATTGAATCCCCAAGTGTGCTGGACAGGTTGACCAATCTCCCAAATAAGGAGGAAGCTAACTGGTGATAAAAGAAGTTAAAATTCTAAAGTTTCTAAGGCTATTAATATCTCCAGGGGGTAGAGAGCAGTGTATAATTGCAAGATAGAATCAGAACAGAGTGATGTATGTGTTTTCCCAGCAAACATACAGGTTCATGCATCCTGCTGAACTTCAGAATGAAAAATTCCCAGTGCAATTGTATTACAGAAAACCTACTTTATCATCTCCCAACGCGAAGTCTTCAATCACAGCCAAATCTGCTCCTACGTAATCAGCAATCTAGAAAAAAGCAATAATTATTATTAACAATGACCTAAATCTGGATGAGGACAGTCGAGCCAGCTTCGTATATTTTAAAATGCACTGAATGTAATTGCACATACACCTACAGTGTAGTCAACAACCATAACAATAAACGTATTATATGGTATTACATGTACCTTGGATAGTATGAAGTTATGTCTCGAATCCATCTGAAAACGAAACAACACAAAATTGTTACTACAATTGCAATTTATCAAATCTAATTAATAACGAAACCCTGACAATTTTAAAAGAATATATTAGTTACATGGAATGGAAGCTATTTATAGCAGTCTTTGCTGAATTGTAATAGCATGCAGTGAAATAAAGATTACAGGTAGGAACCTTTTTGTAATAAGTTCAGAGAAGAAGGACAAGAAGAAGTTGACACCAAACTGGCCAAATCTGCTAGCTTGTCCCCCAATGTCCCCAAACCCTGTCACTAATCCACCCTGTAGAACTAGCAATAGTAACACTAAGCTTCCCAGGGGTGACGCAGACCAATGGGGGGGGGGGGGGGGGGAGGGTAGAAGAAGAGTTTTCCTTTGTGAGTTTCTTGACAGCAATAATTCGGAAAGGCCAGTATGATACATAAAATTACATTTTTGTGATATGATTGACTGATTACATAAAGAGGTCAAATCATCACAGGACATGTTGAGTAATCAAGTCTGTTTAACATTAAGTTTACTGAGGGTCAACCTGGCTCAAAAGGCTAAGACCTGGAAAAATACAATCGTATAAGATCCAGTGATATGTTGAAACTCCACTCTTAGCCTAGTAGTTCAATGAACATGTAATAACAAGGTTATATCCGGAAAGTTAGGTCATGATTTATACTATGCAGGCTAAGAAGATTACTGTTAGTGCTTTTGTGACCTTTCATTACAGATCATGTCTGTATGTACAATCCTGGTTGTACATCCAGTCTGTTGACTCTGTTCGTATCATCAAGTCTGTCAATATTCTTGTCCAAGAAATCTAGTTTTGGGTTGATTAAATTCATTGGGTGATTCCAGAAAATATCCATACCCATACCATGGGCAGCATCTCGGAATTCCAAGGGAGAGGGGGGTTTCTTGGACTGCATGGGGGGTTTCAGCTCTAAATTTCCAGAGGGAGAATATGGCGAAAGCTTCACTTGAAATTGCTTTTCAGTTAACTTTTCTAGTTTGTAAATCAAGCACGACCTGACCACGGAAGTAGGATAAAGATCAATCAAGCAGGTGTTGGCGTTCATGCAGATGTGAGAGCAGATGGGTTGTGCAACAATATCAGCATCGAAGAGGCCTTAAAGTTGATGAATTAGTAGATAGATTAATAAAATATAAAAAAGTCTGTGTTTCTGGTTGCGTGCAAAAAACGTGCACCAGTCTCTCATTTCCAAATGGAATGCCTGACACATTTGTACTAGTCTGCATTACTATAGGTCAGCAGTTACTCAATGAACAAACTTTTCAATATGACAGGTGACGGCACATCGTGAACTTTACTTTTGTCTTCCAGTGGTATCAATATGATCTACTCTCCTTAAAATATCAAGCTAATGAATGGAAAATTTCAGAGGTAAGCAAGTTACTTAAAGAAGGGAAAGCTACGGTGTACTTTATTAAACGTTAACAGACTTGAGTTGCTTGTTTGCTTGACCGAAAATTGTGAGCAGAATTTTCTTGGAGGGAGGGAAAAGCGCAAGTTTCCCGTTCATTAGAAGTTCTGGGCAGTCAAACAGGAATTCCAAAGGGTCTGAAAAAGATTGGAAATTCTGGAGGGGAGGAGATGTTAACGATTTTGGAATTCGGAGGGCATGGGGGTACAGTATTTTGGAATTTCCGAAGGCAAGGTGGGTTTAAATGTTCATGGCACACGTGGTATAGGATATAGATATTTTTCTGGAATCAAACATTTTCAATTTTAGTGCTCTCAAATTCCTTCTTGCATCAGCCTAGTGAATGTTCAGTAGAAATAATTTCAAGCAAAACAACTCACTTCACAAACTTTGAATGCCAAAACAACATTACAGAAAAATAAGATAATTTATTTGTGGTCTTATCTTCCCAGTAGACCTGAGAGACAATTAATCTTCTGCGAAAGCTTGGAAATTCTTATCTCTGACCACCTAGCCTTGCTCACCTCTCTGTTCAACTGAGATATTTTATTCCCTTTACAAATCCCACAGATGCAGGGTTCGACATCTGATCAGCTGTATTAGTAGCCACCAGGCTAGTCATTGCTGAAATTTACTAG